TGTTCGAGAGAGTGTGATGGAATGACACGCAGGAAACGATCTGGGGCAGGCTCAAACCCAGCTCACTTTTTACTTTATGAAGATTTTTTAGCTGTTCTTGCAACTTCTAGTAGTTAACTTATAAAAGCACACCTTAGAATTTGCTTGTTTAGCACGCGCTAGTAGTTCTGGGGCAGGTTCTTCATTCATGCCTGGCCCAGCAGTTCTCTGCTCAGGTGCTTAGAGCTGATCAAAAATGATAGCTGTGGATGGAACAGTGATGCATAAGCAAAGTCAATCAAAGCATTTGACAGACGGGCTAAAAGAAGAAAAAGAAGAAGAAGATTAAATGGAGCATGTAAAAGTGTCATTTGGGAGATATTTACAGTTCAGCAGCCTTGAGCTCGCTCACACAGAGAACAGCCTGTATTTGCTCTCGGGAAAAAGTGTTTCCCAGAGGGATGAGAATTTTTGCAAATGCATCTGGAGGTACTTCGATTCAAAGCACTGTATCAACCTATGAAAAGCAGCTTTTTGTATGTCCTGATTTCATATAAAGTACGTTCTGTGGTATGTGTGCACATGAGCATATTTGACTGAATCTGCTGTGCTACACGATGGACACCGGATTAAAGCCTTGCAGTGTTTTTGGCCAAATAAGGAGAAGCGAGTGATATGAATAATGCCTGGCAGGATTTGGGAGCTCTCAGGGTTAGGTTAGCAGTGTTGAGCTGAGGGCGGATCCTTACCACTGTGTGCTCTTCTCCGATGGGCATCAGTTACAGCAGCTCCAAACCTGCAGAACAGAAGCATTTTAAAAGTGTGTCTGTCTTCAAAGTGAAAAGAATCAATTGTACTTTCTACTATTTTAGAACATACTAAATTCTGTACAACCTTAATATATTTGCTAGTTTTACTTGTATTTACTTTTTTGTTTATTATTATTATTATTTTTATTATTATTATTATTATTATTATTATTATTATTATTATTATTATTATTATTATTGAAACAGAACTCTTAAACAACCCACTAAGAAGAATATGACAGACAGCTTTGGTAGTGATGGGAGCCCTTATAAGAGGTTATCAAAACGTTTTGAGTCCAGCTGCTATTTTTAGATCCCAATGCAGAAGTCCTGTTATGGACCCTTTGTACTTGTGCCTCTGTGAGGAGTGCTGGATCTCCTCGTGTGTGTCAAAATGGCGATCCTTCATTTTGATTTCCATTTTTGGGAATAAAGTTGCCTGAAGACAAATCAAAAACAAACCAAAAAACACAGGCTTGCTTCCGGCCTCGTTCATTACCTGAAATTCTGCATCCAGGCCTGGAAACTATCGACTCATCTGAAAACTGTGGAAAACTGCCGAGGCTTCACTGGAGAACCAACTCATCATTAGTAATGATCCTTCACACAAAATTTTATGTCAGTTTGAAACAACATAATGTCTGCTCTCTGCACAAGTTTGAGGACCATTGCGAAATTGCAAAGCACAAGATCCCGACCCTGTCCCAACTAAACAATTGTCATAAAACCTTTTTTCTCTCCATTCTGAGGTGCAGACTCCTTAATTTGCAGTCTCAATTGCTGTTTTCTGATAGCACCTATGCTGGATTAGAGCCAAGTGTCACGGTGGAGTGTGTATGGAGGACCCAGGTGCGGACACAGGCGAAGGAACAGAATTAATACTAACAAATGGCGAGCCTTTATTTCGGCTGATATACATGAAACATAAATCAAAGCGAGAAAACAAACTAGACTGTGAAACTATGATTCAACTAAGACACTATGAACTGGACTAGGATTTCTACAACAAGGGTAAGATCCACATACAACACAATGCTGAGCACACGAAGACTGAGGACTTTAATACACACATGAGGTGACCAGGGTAAGTGGAGACACATGAGGACACAGCTGACTCGAATGAAACAGGGGGGAGTAAAACTAACCACATGAACACAGAACACAAGACCCTTTTCAAAATAAAATAGGAGACATGGAGACTTACACATGACAACACAAGCTTAACAGACCTAAAACACATGACAGTCTAGACAAGGAACGACACACAGAAACCAAGGAGACAGCTGATAAGTAATCGTTAACCTAAACCTCCACTAAACCCGAAATAAGAATAACACACAAACTTATAATCACCAAACTAAAATGAGAACTTCAAAATTACAAAATAAGACCCAGAGACCCAGCCTGTGACACCAAGCTTGGTCGACAGAATGATCAACCTTTCAAGTACGGACACTCGTCATCACTGAACAACATTGTTTTAACTAATAGAAGCAGTTGACAACTCTCCAAGAAATACGCTAGTTTTTCCGTCTTATATAGGGTTTTTCAGCAGTACAGTATATATGAGTAAAATAACTATTATGAACAGATGATTTCCTCAGATGCCTTGCCCAAATTCTATTTTATCTTTTCTGCCCAATTTTTAACAATATCCTTGATAAACCCCTTCTACTTCTTTCTTTTTTTTTGATAAAATAACATTTCAACCCTTAGTTCTCAGTCATCTCATAAAGCTGCCAAAAACCATCTGTCATGTTATTGTCCAAATCTTACACATATGTTACTGTATTAGACTATTGTAAGCCAAAATCTAGTTTATATATATTATATATATTATATCTTTGAAACATCTTTGTAACATCTCCTTCATATCTTTGCAACGTTGTCCACTTGATTCACCTGCTTCAAAAAAACTGTTTTGAAAATCAGTTTTACAACTAGAAGTCATATAGATTTAAATCATCAATTCAGCTTGACTTGGAAGTAGTTTTATAAGCACTGGTTGTGTACAAAAGCATCTTTAATTCTATATGTTGTCCACCAGATATACAAAACTGAAAACAAATTCTCTTTTGACTTGATAAATCAAAGGGACGCCTACAGTAAACTTGGTGATCCATCCCTCCTCCACCTCAGTGCTGATCTGATCGCTAGACTTATAACTCTTATTTGTAATTTAACACTTTCTACAGCCAATTTTTTTTAAATATGGAAAGCTGCACAGGTCTTACTACTCGATAAAAGTAATGACCCTAGTCACTTAACTATGGAAGAGGGCCAGAGGGGCCGATGGCGCGATATGGCAGCCTCGCTTCTGTCAGTCTGCCCCAGGGCAGCTGTGGCTACAACCGTAGCTTGCCTCCACCAGTGTATGAATGTGAGAGTGAATGAATAGTGGAATTGTAAAGCGCTTTGAGGGCCCCGAAAAGCGCTATATAAATGCAATCCATTATTATTATTATTATTAACTAATTACCACCCTATTTAAAACTGTTTAGTCCTAAAGCCCTAGATAATGGGCAATTAAAGTGTATAACATTTTACAATGATAGCAGACAGGTTTTAGATCATGTCGCAGAACAATGCCTGCAGTGTGTGTGTACGTAACAATAGTATGGAAATGCTTGATCATCAGTATTGTGCTGCACTTTTGATAGATCCATCAAAAACATTCGATTCAGTAGATTGTGGCATTTTATGAGAAAAAACACACAGGTAGATCTTTTTTGACTTCTTCTTTTCACCGTGTACGCAAACAATGTTATCAGTGTTACCCAAAACTGTAATGTACATTTTTATGCAGACACTATTTTATATGCCACTGATTTGGCAAATCTATAGAAACAAGAAAATTACACCCAAAGATTGGATTTTTATATAAACATAAATCACTATACAATTTTGTCTGCATAAATAGGCAATTCTTTTCCTAGTCACCATTACACCTTACATGGAAAGGTGGGCTAGTACGTGCTACTGGAGTGATTACAAAGTGTAGGCTGGGGCCATGAAGGTACTGCAGGTGGGCCACAGTAATAACATACCTGAATTTAAAAGTACTGAGAAGTATGTACACATACATGTTTATATAAATGTATTTATATAAAATTGATTTAAAAATAGCAACAGGAGGTGATAGTTTGCGATGTTAATCATTAGTCTGGCTTAACTGTACAGCCCTTGTATTGTTTGTGTCCCAGCTGCAGGTGGGTCGTAAATTGGCTTTAACGCGTTGCATACGAGTGGGTAACATTTGCAACTGATAGCCAACAGTGTGGCCACTGATGGCTGTCACTTTATCTTATCTTAGCCACTATTGGCTAATGTTTGGTTTATGTGTTTTTTTAAGGAAATACATCATTTTCTCCTGTATTTTGATAAGAATGAAGATTTAAGGCTCAGTGTGCCCCATGGGATTTTCTGGTATGGAAATTCCCATCCCTGGGAATGGCTGCCCTAGTGAATCAAGGAGCATTGCATGATGTTTATTTACAAGGCTCAACTGCAAAGATTGCCTGCATACCTCTGTTCCTTGACTGAATTTAAACATAGTACTTAAAATATCAGATCACAGGACCCCTTAACATTAGCTGTACCTCACACTCACACTGAACTTGGAAAATCTTGATTTAAATCCTTTGCTGTTACTTAGTTAGTTAAAAGTTGCAAAAACTATGAAACTTGACTATCTGATTTCACTGAAAAATTTTAAAGAGTTGAAAGACTTTTTCTTTATTTGTGATCATGTATGATTGGTTTTATTACATAGCTGGGTGTCTTTTTTCTGTATACATGTCTCTCTTAAAAACAGATCTTGACCTCAATGAGACTACCTGTTAAGAAGCTTGTTAATGCAAACTTAAAAATGTAATGTTTTCATTTGATGAGTAGTACAAAAGCTGATTATATAGTTATTTTTACAACCATTTTTTTCTAAAAAATGCCATTGTCACTCGCACAAACTCTGCCCATGGTTGCCGTGACCTTTTCCAGTAGACCGTACCTCCTTTTGTCATTTTTTCAGCCTGACTTCCTGCTTGATGGTACACCAATGTTGCCAAAGTTGTCCTAGTCAGAAAGCATCACTACGATCGCCACTGAAGATTCACACGAACAAGCTAATTCCTTTTCTTCTTTTACCCACTCCTCCCTCACTCTTCCTCCTTCCTCCCTCCCCATTTCCTCTTTATTGTTCCAAATGTTAAACAGAAGCAAGACGTTCTCAACCAAGTAAGCCTCAGCCCGGTGGGCTCTGCATGCTGTGTGGTGTCTGTGTCAGCAGACTGCATGCACATTCTGTCCACTAACATAACATGACCACGCTCTTACCGCTGCAGATGATCTGTTACACAGCCAGGGGAAAAGGCCATGGGGCTGTTGAGTTCAGTGCTAGTATGTACCCATCATATTGCTGTATCAGGGGAAGCTGTGGGTGTGTGTGTGTGTACATTAACATGACACAACATAACATTTCTGTATTCAGCAATGTGACTATTACATGTTTTACTGTGTATATTTTTTGTGTATATATATCTTTCTTTACATTCTTTTTAAAGCCATTGGGCCTCCAAGCTCAAATGGGGTTTTTTTCTGGATGCAGCTTCTAGTACATCCATTCAGTCATTACTAAGCTTAAAGATGTGATGGTCAGTTGATACCACATTTACATTGAACTGTTTAAGAAAATACTGGCATGGCACTCCAAATCACGACTGTGGACTCTCATTTCAGGTCAGATCAACTAAAGCTGGAAACCCCATCACATTTTCTGTCCATGGGTGGTGGTATTGGTGTATACATGTCCATCAGTAAGTCTGTTAACATCTTTGCCCTTTCCTTTCTCATGCAGCCTATTGACTATGAGGGCTTCCAGCTCTTCATGGTGACTTATTTGGAGAATGACATACCAGAAGAGCTTTGTCAACATCTCTTTACTTCCTTCAAGAGCAAGACGGGAGGCTGTTCTCCAGACCAGTCTCGGGCAGGAACGAGCTTATTGGGTAGGCTGCTTGTGTTGTTGTCTTAAATAATACTCATCCCAGTAATATTCACCCCACGCATCTAGTGGGAATGGATGTGGGAAGTTGGGTAATACTGTTACATTATTAGAGGTAACACAGGGTAACAAACTGTGCAGATATAGGAGGTCGGATGATCTGATATCCTCGTGTTGGTGTTGTTCCCAGACCATCATGAAAATGTTAAAGGGTCAGGGTCAGGGTCCATTGATCGGCGGACAGAGGCGGTTTTACGCAGCTTAAGTACAGTTTTTCGTTTTACGCTGGTTTTTCCCGAAGTCCCAAAAGTATGACGTCACAACATTCTGATTGGTCACTTGCAATGTTGATCCTGGAACAACATTTAGTATGATGATCTGGGAACAACACCAACACGAGGATATCAGATCAACCATAGGAGGTCAAGGCTGAGGATAATTATATAATTGTGATCATGATGCCATATATGTTATTATTTGAATCAAAACCTTGACCTGTTTCCAAACATAATAAAGCTGCCATATCCCTAAACCTAACCAAATAGAGCAAATAATATATACATATATGCACTGCTTCAGGTTGGAGGACACACCATTCTAATGATGTGTAGTTCATTAGCTAGCTTCCTTCATAGCTACGAATTAGTTACCTTTCTACTTCCTAAACTGGTTGTGCTTTTGGCTGTCTAGCTTTAACATTAGCATTAGTTTGTAAAATCTCACCACTATTTGTCAGTAGATTGCAGATTGCTGTGAACAGAGTTATGTTTTCTTACCCTGTCTAATTCAAGTTTATAATTCTAGCTGCAGTGGACAACATCCGGTTGTTAAGTGATGATGTATGAACCCTGCTTTTGGGTCCAAACTACTCTGTGTTTATTGAGGCTGTTGTGTTTTTAACATGTTGTAATGCTTTGCATCTTGTTAGAGTTAATCGGTGATCACTTTCTGATCACTTTCTCTCTTGGTTGTTATTTCCACTATTCATCGGCAAACACATTTTAAAGCTCAGTTTTTGAAACCATACGATGTAACTACAGCCCAGTCCCTGCAGCAGTAAATTAATGACTAACCTCGTATTGTGGATGGATTATCTAAGTTGTTCTCCTGACTGAAGTTTGGTCCGTTTACAGCATCCTGCTGTGCAATTGCATTTGTCCCTAACCATCGGGAACCCTCACGTTAACTTTTATCGAGTGGAAAGAAGTTAGCGTCCATCCTCCAGCTTCACTGTGTTCATATTATGCTAACATAGCTGTGCAGCTAGCCACCACGTAGCGCATCATTATATACCAGCTAGGCCAACTTCAGTAACCGTACAAAGGTCACTGCTGTTTACTTTTCTGTCTTCATTTCTGTTGGAAGTGATAGCAGAGCTGTACGTTTTAATTTTTCGGAAGTCCCTCGGTCAGAACATGGTACATCATGTTTAGATTGAAACTAGCAAGCTAACTCTCTGCTGACTTCAAACTCCATTAAACTTAATAAATTCTGTTTTCGTGGATGTTAAACTTAATTTTTACACCTGGTAGAGCAGGCACACTCATCATTTTATTAAAGATAAAAGAATTTACACAGTTTGTAACTGTGATGCAACAGTATTAATTTGACTTATTAATTGTTTATTATTATTAAGTATTAATTGTGCCTGAAGCGGAGTTTTGACCTGGAAATGGCGAATGACGTCAGACTTATAGACCGGACAAGGAACTCTGGCCACTGAGTGTAGGCTTTAAATCCAGTATTTACCTCAGTTATCAATATGCCGGGTCTCCATGTGTAGTTACTGTAGAGGACACTGTAAAAGTTGTGATGAGTCGGTGGAGCTCAGGATATCGGGTATGGAGGACCACAAGAGCCACACACATCGAAATAAAGAATTTTATGCTTGAATATTGAATTGTAGAACAAATTATGCATTTTTAAATTCATTTACGAAGTCATATTTAAATTAGTAATGTTTGAATGAATAAAATAAAGTAATTTATTATTTAAAAATTTAATTTAAAATAGTGCTGTCAGCATTAATCTCGTTAAAATGACGTTAACGCCATAACTGAATTAACGTGGCAAATCTCCGTTAGCAGGTTAACGCGGATCGCCCCGTGCGTGGGGCTGCACGATGCAAACGCATTAACGAGCTAACTGCGCTAACGCGTTGATGGCGTGCAGCCCCACGCACGGGGCGATCTGCACTAACTACTTATATAGTATTTGTATTTGTATTCTATTTTTATCTTATTGTATATTTATTTTATTTTATTCTACTGTATATAGTATTTTATTTTATTCTATTCTGTACAGTTGTGTACTGTATTTATTCTTATTGTATTCTAATTTTTGCCTCATAACTTTTGCACTGTCCACTTCCTGCTGTGACAAAACAAATTTCCCACGTGTGGGACTAATAAAGGTTATCTTATCTTATCTTATCTTAACTCACTAACTGTTATTTGCCACGTTAATGCGGTTATGATGTTAACGTCATTTTTTTAACGAGATAAACGCTGACAAAACGCTTTAAAATACAAACACTATCTATATTTCAAAATGAATGATTAATCCATTTAAAAAAAAACTTCAAATCAAAAAAGAATTTCACAAAAAAAGAATTAAACTCTAAATAAAAACCTCCTTTCAAAAACCATTTTCGAATTCCAATTAAAAAACTGATTTTCAAAATTGTTTTTAAAACACAATTTAAAAAAGAGACATAAGTAAATGGATTAAAAATCAAACATTTATTTCTGACATTTAAAATGGCGATTCCACTCCTCACTCCCCATTTACCTTTCCTGTTAGCTCACGGATTAGCTATTATATTAGCTATTGGATTAGCTTTCTCATTTCTGAAATACCGAAGCAATGCAAATTAGCCACGCGGCTTTCTGTAAGGAGCTCCCTGATTGGTTGGACAGACACAGGCTGGCTAACTGGGTGAGAATGTAAACAAACTGTTTATCAGAGGGAAATGGCAAATTTTAGGATACTCAAGCCTAACATTAGCCACCATAATGTTAGCTTATAACCAACTATTGCTCATTGTCAGCTGTTCCATTCAGGTTTGCATGTCTACTCTGCAGACAATAACTAACTCTGACAATAGCTATAATAAATCGCCATATTTATCCACGTTTTCTTGTATCAGATCCCTGATTCAGTTCAGGAGAGGTGTCTTGAGGTCATATCTCAAGACGCCGCTTTTAAATGAGATATTGATTGTGTTTTCTTTTTTCTCTTTATTGGTGAAGGGAACCATCTTCTCACATGTTAAAACACTGATGTGATCCTTCATATCTTGTTTTTGAAGGTACTTTCGCAGCACTCGCCTATGAGGTCACCATCACCATGGAATACATTGTTAAAACCCCTGCACGGGTTCATATTTACCTCAGTTAGGACAGTTATAGTTTGAAACTGATGACAATAAATGACAAGCTTGGGTAGAGAAACATTCTTTTATCATTCTTATATACAAATGAAAACAATACTTTAACTATTTTTCATGTGTATGTGTTTACTAAATATGTTGTAGTTTGATTCATGCCCTGCTCACTAACAGAAAGGGCAGAGCATATGACCTCTGATACAAACTGAAACCAGGGTACAATCAAGATATTTTGGCCTTACTGTATGGGAGCTTTCCTATTGTACATCTTCATATTCAGTCTGTGGTTTGGGCACTTTGTGACTCTTTGTGTGCTCAAGACAACTACAACTGTACATCAAGGCAACTTTATCAGGGGTTACATCATGATTGACCATCCTGTGTAAAAACCCCAAAACCTTTAAGCTAGCCACTTTCAGTTTAAAGTAAAGAGAGATTCGCTACTTCCATACCTTTTTAAAAAAAATACCTTTCATGTTTTCATTTAATTCAGTGAACAAGTTTCACAGTATAAGAGAAAGCTGAGCCGCCATGTTGGTCCAATTTAAAATATGGGAACCGACAGCCCATGAGACTGTCCTTGTCCAGCCAGTAGCTAGATGCCTGCATGTTAATGGGAGGCTGTAGGACAGGGAGAACACATATCAGTCATCTCTTGTGATGGATTCTAGTGGCACACCCATTCTGTATCCATTACTAGAAAGTAGCATGATCCCTTGCATCAAAAAGCACTCCTGTGGAAACACAATGCACAAACCTGACTTCTGTACTCGCCAGCCACTAAACTCCATGATCAACCTCGCACAGGTTAGTTAGGTTATTGTTATTGAATCAGCTGTGAGGGCAGTCAGCAGATGTTCACTTTCTGACTGACTGTTCTGTCGTGTTAAGCTGTTTTTGTATAAGATTTTTTTAAGCCTATGGCCTGTCCAGGCTCACAGCGCTTTTTAAAGAGATTTTTAAGTCCTAGCTGTAACTTTTATCAAACATGTTTAACACCAATACTATGACAATATAGACTCCACAGAGAGATTGACAATGATATGAAAGTCAGACCAGGTTGTTTAGTTTCCTTTTTTAGGTTTACAGCCAAGATTACTGTATAGAGTTAACATCAAGCAAGTGAAGAGAGCTTTCGAAGTAGCCATGTTTGCTGAAATTTGACCAGTGGTCAGATGGTCATCAGCTGTAGTTGTTCAATTATGTCAGAGTTCAAAGCATTTGATCATTCAGTCATTTGAGAATCTCTTGTTGGGTAAATATCCAGTGAGAAAAGGAGAAGATAGGGATGTGGTACTCTTTATAACGGTATGCCATCTGACAAACATCACAACAGTTGCTCAATTAACACTAAAGACGTCAGCGACAAAAGAAATATTACAAGGTCAGACAGAGAGGCTCTCCAGTCACATTGTCGATCTGCAAATTAGGCTATATTTAAAAGTTCTCAGTTAACAAAAATGCACAGATGAACACTGACGCAAAACTAACTTCACACTGATAAGGGGAAAAGCACACACGAGCACAGACATCTATGGGACACACCGGGTCACTTACTCTGTCCTCTGCGCAGTATGTAAACACTTTCTGCCTCGTTGCCGCCATGTAAGTGCTGCGTGGGCCTAGGCACCAAGATCTGCCCGTCTGACTGCAGAGCAGCTGAAGAGACAGATGGACTGCTGAATTAGGAGTCTATTTATGTGCTATAAAGCTTGTAAAAGTAAGAGGCAACAAGTGCAGAGAGGCAAAATGTGAGTGAGAGAATGTCACTTTGGGTAGTGGCATTGGAGCTGTGAGTCCCAGCGCTGTGACTCAGTCCACAGGCCGAGGTTGCCTGTCATCTGCCTGTCTTTGTGTCATCCTTTTAGTCTTTTGTAATGGTCTGAAAATGCAGAGATGGCAGTACAGCAAATGTTGCTATCAGTCTTATTTGTTTTCCACATGGACCCTAAAGCCTCTGGTATACTTGCTTCCAGGTAACAGTGGGAGTTTGGCTGTTTCGCTGTGTGCAGCCTGAACGATGAGTCTTACAAGTAGCATGCCCATGAGATACAGTCAGGACAGCTAGTTTTTATCTACCCGTAAAATACTTTGGGAAATGTCCATCCTAATTTTCAGCTGTCAAAGGCAGCATATTTTCACATTTGATAGGAAAATTAAAAGATCATTACCATTTACTTTAGAATAAAATCTCATATTACGTGTGTGTCGTGTATCTTAGCTTCACAGAAGGGTGGTAGTGAAATCAGACTATCAACAACAATGAAAGTCCTAAAAGATGATTGATAAACCAAACATCAGGAGACAAGAAGATACCAAGTTGATAAACTTATAAAGGCAAAAAGAGTTAATACTTTAATAAAAGGAGAGAAAAAAAATCAGACACGAAATCAGAAATTAGGATGGGAAAACAACAAAGGTAGGAAACTCAAAAGCAATAGACTACATGAGAAATAACCTTAAAATAAAACAAACTAACTGAAAAATTCATGACATACACAGACATAAAAAGGTCAAATAAATAGGTAAAATACTATAAAATTAGGAAAAAAAATGAAGGACATGCAGAACATGGTACACATTGTTTGTCATTTAGGATTCTCAAAGTAGGTATTCTTGTGTGGGTGAAGGAATTACTCTTTACCTTTGTATATTCATGTTTATCCTCTTTGGGGGGTACAAAGTACAAAGGCCTGAACAAGCAGTGTGTACATGAGCAAATGCATCATGAGTTCATCTTAGGAAGCCTGCATACAAGTGACAGTAACTGAGCATAATAACTTCACTTTATCTTCATCATATTTGCAAAAATGAATGAATAACATTAACCTAACCTGTGTGAGGTTGATCACCGAGTTTAGTGGTTGGCGAGTACAGTCTGTGGCAGCTTCAGTGTTTAGAGTCCCACAGTTGTTAGAGCCTGCACTACCACCTGGTGGTAGACTGGTATAACCTTACTGTACTGGTTAGATTTCAGGTATGGCCTCATATTGTTATGCATGTTTTTTTTCGGTACGTTTCATCTTCATCATTTGTGTCAGAAGAAAAGTCATATTTGCCCAAGTCTATGCTCCTTGGACAACTTTATAAAGACTGTTTCACTGCATGTGATATGTTGCATTCTGATGCTGTGTTGCATTCTCATTTGAAACAATATCTACCTGAACATATAACAGAATTCTTAATTGCACCCACTGATTGTGCAGTTAAACTTCTGTGCTCATTAAAGATCCAAAAATGAGGCTCTTATTTTGATAAGGTTTCTGGGAATCGATTTTGTTCTTAAATACTGAACAGTATATGCATCAGGAGGTCTCCATCAACACTGATGTTCACTCACTGTTGCTGCGTCTACCACTGTCTTTTTCCCCTCAAATCAATGATGGACCATAGAAGCCCGTTCCATCGATGCAGGCATCTCTATTCAGACCGAAGTGGCCTGTGCTCCCATTACAGGTACCACAACAAGCTTGTATCATTGCATTGATGTAATCATAATGGGTCAAGAGTCCTGCGGGCTGTAGCCTCCCGTTCCCTTGGTGGTTGCTTCTTTATGTTGTGTTGATGTGAGTTCATGGTCTTTTGGCTGTAGCTCGGTGAATGACAGTGGTGCTTTGTGAGTGTATTTGGTTTTAATGCAGCATCTTACCGGCTTCCTTTACCTATAAGGCACTTGAGATATTTGTATTTGGATTATTGTTGTGAAGTTATCAGCTGTGCTCATGTTACTCATTGCAATTAACCACCATCCTCATCCAGCACTGTTGTTATTCTGCTAAATGCCCTTTTCAAATCTCTCTTTTCTGTTCCATCCCCCTTTGCCCTGTTGTGAATCTGTACAGGGATGAATGGGAAAAGCATCCTGTCTGCAATAAGCCGACACACACCAGAGCACTCCAGTGTGATGAGCACAGCGGGTTCAGGAGCGACCACCTCCCCTTGTTCATCTCGTTCCTCTTCACAGCGTTCAGGGACAGGGGCTCACACGCCTGGGGGGCCACACCTATCACCCTGCACCCGAGTCAAAACCTTAGAAGGCAGCAGCAATGCCCTGACCCCTAACCCTGGTCCTGCCAAGTCACCAGTCTCCCCTAAGCTTTCACCAGGTAAGATCAGCCACAATACTGTTTTACTTCTTTTTGTTGGGCTTATAAAGTTGCCTCTCACCAGCATGATTACAGCACAACAGATCATACTGGTATGAGTGGTAATCATGAGGCGTACAAGTGTGTCTTGGCAGGAAACTAAAACTTATCAGGAAGTGAACACATCTGCTTCAGGGGTATGATACAAATATTTAAAAATCTGTGTCCCTTAGTCTTCCAGTTTTAAACTCCAAATAGCAGTTTAACAAGAAACTTGCTTAGTTAAAGAACAAAACACATTTTAGTTAAATCTTCAGGGTTGTGGTCAAATATGGATTTTTGTTTAGGGGGTGTTTCAGCCAAATCACCCAGGAGTCTCTTAAATACCAGTGATAATAAGACATCATACTCTCTGAATGCCACAGGGAGGACTTTTTTCATTTCTTTGGTGGTGTATGAAAGGAAAAGTGATAATACTGCGCCACAGCTCCTCACAACCATATCAAGAGTACAAAAAAAAAATCATGTAGCCATCTGTTTTTAAAACATACAAATAATATAGTTTGTAATGTAAAAGTGTGATTTCAAAAAATTATGAGAAAATCTCAAACTAAACAGTATTTAAAAAAAACAAAAAAAAACCTAAACAGCATACATTTTTACAGTATAATAAAAGAATTACTTCTGACTAGTGCAGAGAGACATGCAGATGTAAATGTTTCAGTTTAAATGATAAGTTAAATAGTGTTAGGATATTTACGTCAACTTTAGCATCCTTTTAAGCGCTTGAATGTGACAACATGTGGTTAGATTTTAGTAAAGACTGTTTCTTTAGAGTCTGTTACTGATTACACTGGGCTCAATAAAAGTGCAATGGCAAGCAGCTCGCGCTGTTATACCGTAAATCCTGTATTTCATACACAGGGGTTAAAGTGGAATTTAGCAGAGGGGGGAACACTGTGGTGGTGCAGCATGAGGAAAAGATTCACTTACAAATAAGTAATGTAAAAGCTTGTATTGTAAACTCCAGTAGTTTTTACTTTGTGTACAGGCTGTGGTCAGCTGACCTGTGCTGCTGATTTTCTGCACTTTGTGGCTTTAGCCAGTTGAGTTCAACAAGATACAAGCAAATATTTCATACGCTGTCATGGCTTTAAAAGCTCTATGCAGCATAATGCTAGTATAAAAGGCTTGGTGAGTGAATCTAATCAGCATCGATACCTTAAATATACTTTGATCTTTGCTTGATGGCTCTTGGCGTAAACTAATACAAAATGATCATACATTTTGATTTACAAGAGGCCTAATAAAAAAAATTAAGAAAGAAAAAAGCAATGTATCATGTGTACATCCAATACCCAATTTTTTTTTTTTTAAAAATCCAAAACTATTTAAAGATGATTTCAGACATTAATTCCAGGTTATTGAACGTCACTTTCAGCTCAGTCCTTGGCTTTCACTTTCCTGTCCTGTCCTTCTTACATTAATGTCTATTGTCTCCCTGGAATAAGCTACCAAGATACAAAGTGTTATAAACTGCACTGGAAATGGGTTTGTGTTTGTTGATATTTGTTGAGCTGTATGAAAAGACAAGGAAATCATATGCTGTGTGAGAAACATTCTCACTCTAACTAGATGATAAAGTACCACAAAACCAACTTTGACCACCATGAATGTATCAGAGGGGTGAGGAGAAAAAAGCAGTGCATTGAGGGTGTATCATTGTTATATCATTGTTTTCTCAGTTACTCCATCAGCTGGAAGGAACACCACACAAGAATGAGATGCAGCAGAGAAAAAATGAACTCACTTGACAGGATCCTGTATTGACCTGTCAGATTTAATTACTCATGTACTGGAACGCTGTTCCTCCACTTTAACCCCTTCTGTACAGCACAGTGCTTTAACCTTTTATGGTGTGAAACCACATAGTTATAGATTAGTCTATGTGCACTGTAAAATAACAGCACTGACTGTATTTTACTGTAATGTAGTGTGGAACGTGTAGCTTAGTGTAGTGCAGATACTGTTAGCAGCACATTTCCTCATGAGCTGTCCTTTGCATCTTTTATAAGAAATAATTTTTTTAATTTATTTGATCATCCATGGCTTAGCTCGCAAACAGGTGAGGTGACAAATCAGGACAAAGCTTGTTGTCTGAAACCAGAAAAAAAAATCAGGATATAGATTCGAATCAGTGAATTCATGATGTAGCCATATTTTATTTCAAAATTCCAGTTCTAAAACTAATGACTAAAAAATGAATTCAGCACATATATTTCGATATGTAAATCGCAACAGGGTTAAAGTATGCATCTCACATCATGGCCACAGTGCAAAACACAAAAAATAGTTCTCCTTAATAATAATAATAATAATAATAATAATTAGAGCTAATAAAGCTACCTAATATAAGCAAATAAAATTAACTAAAACTAAACTAACTAATCAGATTTAATTGACAACAATATGTCCTCTCAATAATATGATTTATCACAGTTTTTGTATTAAAGTGTGTCATACTCAGACTCAGAATGCAGGTCAGTGAGTTTATTTACAGTCTTTCAAAAAAGACAAAAACATCTACAGTCTCTATGCACAGTATCCAAGCCGACAGTCCAAGCAGTCTTTAGACTCGATAACGAAACAGACTTTTCTCTCCAACTTACACTCACAAATCCTCTTTGAGGAAAACAAAGGGAGCCTTTTGATATCCAGATGAGGGGCAGGTCAGTCGATTGCCACAGATGTGCTAGGCCAGAAGGTGGGGACCAAGAGGATCCCGCGTTTGAAAGGTGCGGTAACCACACAAAAGCACACAAACAGATAGGCAGAGAGAGGAGACAGAGAACCAAGGTGGAGAGAGAGAAAAACTGGCAGGAGTACCAGGAGGAGTGAAACCCAAAGAAAAAAAATCTTTTCACACCCAGCAGGTAAACTGAGGGCCACCATCCGACATGATATCCCAAAGGAATCCGATGCAGCTGGAAGACATGATTGGTCATTAGCTAGGCTGTCTCCAGTGTGGATTGCAGTTGGGTAAGGTGATGAAGTGGGCTGCTTTAGAAAACCAGTCAACAACAGTAAGGATGACTGTGTTACATGCTGAGGGGGAAAGGCCGGTGCTGAAGTCCAGGGGTATGTGGGACCAAGGTCACCTGAGCATAGGAACAGGTCAAATGTATAGAGCAAGAAGCCTTGTTTTTGGGACAAACCTGGCAAGTAGACATATATTCCCAGCCATCTTTCTTGAGAGAGGGCCACCAGAAAAGACAGAGGAAGGTTATCATGTGGTCAGTGCAGAGATAGCAAATGAACCTGGCTGTATGCCCCCAGTGGATGATGTGAGCCAGAGGATGGTAAAAACAAATTATAGGTGGTCTGTTACTCTGGTCTGGTTCCTCCTGTTGAACATTATGGATCAGGGAGTCAATCTCCAACATCAGAGTTCCAACAATACAGGAGGGTGGCAGAATCGTAGTCTCCTCTGCCGAGGCATCCGAGGGTAAGAACTGATGGGACAGGACTTCGGGTTTGTCATTCCAGGAGATGGGGCTATAAGTAATGACAAAGTAGAAGTGTGCAAAGAAAAGGCCCCGCCAGTATCCCCACCTTTACTGCCAGGCTCCATCTTTTAAACCCAGACCTTCCCACAATGTGGGGCCCGCCCCCTAGTGGGGGCGCAGAGCCATGGCAGGGGGCGCGCGGGATGAAAAGGGGGGAAAAAAACAAAACGCTTGGACACTGCTAGCACGGGCGCCTACAGAAACGCAAAGCAGGAGATGAAGCATAGCTGAATGTGTTTCCAAACCAACTTCTTTCTAAGCCAAAGACTAGAAAATATAATGAAGCATATCTTCCCTTTGGCTTCACCTGCACAAGTGCCGAGGTAGGTCTCCCCTGCAGGATTAATTTTCCCTTCGTCGGGAGCACGTGCTGGGCTCTTCAAATCACGGACAAACAGTAACCCACATTCCTGATTTTTAGTTCACAAACACTTGTTGTAATGACTAACTACTTGTTAGCAGAGACGGGTCTTCCAGCGGAATCTGCATGAATATTGAAGATACTTATATTGTCTAGACGGAGGAATAATCACACGTGGGGCATCGGCTTTTCACCGGAACAACACTTAGTTTTTATTATTGAACTCTCGCGTGCACTCTGCAGCATAACAGGAAGCATCCTTTCAAAATAAAATCACAACAGATGACAACGAGGGCATACCTATTAACTAGCTCAACACTACTCCTGATATTTTGGAGATGTTAGCTCTTTATACAGTAAAGTTACAGTGGGATACAAATAATATCAGGCTGATCCTGCCACAATTTGTTCCCCGGTTCAAATCCCGGACAAACAGCATCCAACAGCTGTTTATGTTTTTAAACCCATTTTGCACAGAGAGGCATTTTTTGAAAAATGTATTGATAGCAATGTTGAATATTATTACACAGGAAAAAAACAACTACACGCAAAATAATTACACCGTGACGCCTCTGCCTTTTTAAATGGAGGGACAGTAACTGCGTGTGTATGTAAGCGTGTAAAACCTGAAGATAGTCAGATTAACAGTATTTCGTCTCTATCTGCCATTCTGCAATTCATCTCATGTAAACAATGACGTGCGCACAGCGTGACGTGAAAAAAGGCACATACCTTTGACGTCGTGTGACGAACTCTGTATTCCTCGTCCACACATAAACACAAAAAAGGAGTTTTAAAAAAAAAAATCTCAGTTTTCGGTGATTCGAAACACCGTTTGTGTGGACGAAACAGCTGCGTTTTCAAAAATACCCGCGTAGGTGCGGACGTAGCATAAAAGAGTTAGTAGTTTATTTTATTACTACCTGTAATTTATTGCAGATTACGTCTATTTGCTTAATTGTTTACTAAATGTTTGAGGTGTGAAATAAACCGCAATGGAGCAAAATATGGGTGTGTGTGGTTGGAGGATGTGTGCGCGCGTGCACATTTTTCTTGTAAAACAAAGGGGGGCCCAGCAAAAGAAGTTTGGGAACCACTGTTTTAACCGGTGAGAACAGACATCAATGAAAATGCCTTTTTTTGCTAGTGTACAAGCACTCACCAGCCTGGATGCACTTGAGATGTTTGACAGGAGATAGATGAATACAACCCAGCTACATGGGCTGTTCTCCACACTCTGTTTCTCCTTCCAAGTCTGCTCGTTGCTCTGAGGAAACGGTGCAGAGACTGGACGTTTTCTTGTGTGCAGGTCCCCGGGATTCGTAGTCCTTCCTCGGATGAAGTTCCCGCATTCAATTGTCCACCCTGATAAACGAAGTCAGTCTATCATTTCATCGACAGAGGCAGCCTCTTCAGCCAATATCCAAAAGTCCACTGAAAAATCATCCATACTCTGCTTACCTTGACGCAGGGAGAAGCTTTGTGTCTCGCCAGCTGAGCTTCCTGCTGAACGAGCCAGTGACAAGAACAGAGTTGAGTCCGCTGAGTCTGTTTATGGCTTGAGCTTGAGCAGGCAGGACTCAACCGCAGACTCAGAATGCAGTTCGGTGAACGCTTTCAATGTTGAAGTAACAGAATAAGCCATGTGTTTAGTGTGTGCTGCAATGTGGAATTGATTTAACTTGAATTGTTTCATCTAGGTGCTGGTAATCCAATTACATCCCCTCACATGGCTTCTGTTGCAGCTGTACAGCGAGGTGTTTTGTCCACCGGTTCTCCACTGTCTCAGGGACATGCACAGTGATTGGGGTTCTCCAAAGTGTCATACGAATGCTTAAATGTATAATTTACTGGTGCTTTTACTGTGTATGCTTAATGAGGAAACTCAGCGGAGTAGAAAGAGTGATGGGTGCTATGAGTAGCTCTGAAAGTTTATGTTGTACATCAACAGAGAGGACCCACTCTGAGAAGCATTTGTCACTGCGGAGGAGCCCATCACCTCAGCGAGCCTCCCCACTGCCATCACCCCAGGTGGTCTTTCTCAAGGACATTGTCTGCTACCTTTCCCTGCTGGAGAGGGGGACGCCTGAAGACAAGTTGGAGTGTAAGTGACAGTGATGGAAGTGTGTGTGGGTGTGTGGGGAGTATGATAGAGGTGGGAGCAGCTGACATGTGCAGTGTGTGTGGCCTCTAAAGCTAGCCTGCTAGCTCAGGTTGACAGAAAGTAAGTAATAAGGCTATTCCCTCCATCTGGCTGTGTCAACAGTGCCTTAGATACACCACTAACAGCTCCCTCAAAGGGCAGGTCAGTGACATGCTTAAGCCCCGCTGTGCCCAATTGACTTCTTTACTGTCTGTGGCTATAATTGGCACTGACTATCAAGGCTAATCTTCTAATTAGTTCCTTTGCTGCGGTACAGAAGAAGCACTTCTTTAACCCAGTGGCCATCTGGATGGAGTCCAGGAATGAATGTTTCAGCTTCCGAGAGCTACTAATTATCTGAGTCATCATGGGATCTCTGTTCTCTCCTTTCCCTCTAGTCATGTTCCGGCTGTACGACACAGACGGCAATGGGGTCCTGGACAGCTCGGTAAGTGGACTCCATTTGCTTTTGCATCTCCCTCATGTTTCCTCTCCGTCTCTCTCAGCCTCTCCCTGTCTTTCCGTCTCTGTGTTTTGTTCCTTTTCACTTTGTACACAGCAGCTCCAAGAATAGTAACCTCGACATTCAGTGACAGCCTTGTGTTTACATAAGATCATCTGTAATGGATCTCTTAAGTTTAATATTAGCCACGTGTCACAGAGATCACATAAACAGACAGATACAGGTTATACAAAGAGGGAAATACATAAAACATTCAGACTTTGTTTTACTTTGCATTTCATGTTCGGAACAATTCCGATAACAATGGCTAAAAAACATGTTCAGGAAAAGACTGGTATTTGCTCCGTGCTTGAAATGAGAAGCTATTCTAAAAGCTAAAATGATAGTTTCTCTGTCCTGTAAGTTATGCTTTGTCTTTACATAGGAGCTGGATCGCATCATTAATCAGATGGTGCATGTGGCAGAGTATCTGGAGTGGGATTCAACAGAACTACGACCGGTGAGCAAACACACTCCCAGTTGCAATAAAGTCTGATGGTGAACAGAAAGAGAAACATCTATTGAGGCCTCTATGCGAATGTCTATGCATCCTTGATGTCTCCCAAAACCTAAGCTGACACCCATAAAGTGGATTTTAATTCCAAAAAGTAAAGTAAAGTTAAGACCCAGTGAGAACATATATCTAATTTTGTACACAATGTATAAAAACCACTTTATCCCACTTTATTCTGAGGTTTTCTGACATTTAGAGGGAATTACACTAACTCTGCATTTCAGTTGCGTCATATTTGCCTGATCTAAAATCCACTGTGATGTGCAAAATTACAGACATATGTATCATAGTCAAATACTTATGGGCTGAAGTGTACCTGTGTATCTTTAGATATTGAAAGAGATGATGGAAGAGATCGACTACGACCGAGATGGGACGGTCACCTTAGATGAGTGGATCAGAGGAGGCCTCACCACCATCCCTTTACTTGTCCTGCTGGGCATGGATACGGTATGTGCTTGGAAAAGTGTATGTTTACTTTGTTCTTGCAGTGTTTGAAAGCATTTCTATACTATTCTGGTGTTTTTGTATTGAACTGTAGGGTTCTTACTCACCTACACGAACTGTTAAGGTTTTAGATTTTAGACCAGGGGTCGGCAACCTTTCTGATGATGAGTGCCATCTAAACTTTCCTCAGAAGTCAATGTGCCATATGATTGCATTAGCAATACATTTAATAACGCTCTATATGAACAGTTACACACTACATAGAACCACTTTATAGAATCATATTTGTTTGCAGATGTTGGCAACTATCAGCGAATAGTTATCAGCTATTTTGAAACAAAACAAAGACACTTTTTATCCATAACAGCAAATGAACTGTACAACAGAAAATGCAAACGCTATTTATGGTCTCCTCACAACAATGATAAGAAAAATAAACTGGGCCAATATGGCATGTCTGTTAATACAGAGACACACATGTTAATGTGATCTCTGGTCTCCCACTCAGAGACACAGGTCTCAGAGTGTCCAGCATTCAGACGGCTGCCTGAGGACTCATGTGAGAGAAAATCTGCTCACACAGATATGTAGAGCCAAATACTGTCAATAAGACCTCTGCAATGTTCTGAAGACAGTTAAACTTGTCAGGTAGTGATGTCCAGCAGGTGAAAATGCAAGCTCCATGAACACGCACAGCTGTGGATTCCAGCTGCGTTTGTATTTCTGCAAACTTTGACCCCCACAGAGTCAAGGTTTTTATTTCAATCAGCTGCATTTCAATGTCGCATTAACTCAGCCAGTTACTGCGAGACAAATCCAGCTGCTCATTAAAGCTTTCTGGTTTGATCAGTCTCGAGTCTACGAATGCTGATGCTGCGCTGAAGCATTTGAAGTGTCGAAATGTGGAAATTTCAACATCGCTTGAAAAAACTGCCAGCTAGCAACGTCCCTAATTTTTAGCCAATTACAAGTTGAATCTGGTAGTTGGAGTTGTTAGCTAAGATACCGTCATTAAGAAGCGGCACAACTAATCTGTCTATGCAAGCTAATTTGCAATGTGCACCGCTGGCCCGGCCATTTGTTTTTTAATGCACCTTCTCAGATTAATTCACTGCGTGTCGTGCCCAGGGCTGGACTGGGACAAAAAATCAGCCCGGGCATTTTGACTAGAGACCGGCCCACCAGGTATTAAAGTTATAAAGCCTTGGAATGAAAACAAATGCTGTTGTGACAGTGATGTAAAATCTTGTTGGTATATGTATGATTTCTATACATTTTACATCAGATAAAAACTTTGGTTGTAAGCTTCAGATAATTATTTAATAACAGCCAGACATTTTAAATGAGAAGAACAAAGAAAAGTATTTCTTTATGCCCCCTTTCCCTGTTAATGCCCTACCTGCCCCCCTGGCAAAACTTTCCTAGACCCGCCCCTGCACAGTTTACCAGCTGTCAGCTACTTAGAAAAGGATCCTGGTGTTATTTGTCTCTCAGAAACAGTTCATAACTTCCCTTCAACTCATTCATGTCACCTAAAAGGTAAACCTGTTTCTCCATCACCTGTTCAGCTCTGATGATTCAGTAAGGACATCTCCTGGTTTCATCTTCATGTTTCCCTCTCACCACATATCCAAACCGACATCATGACCAGCAGGTTTACAGCTGTGGCTCCAGCAAACATCAGCTGATGCTAGAAATTAATATTAAACAAATTCTAACAACAGCTGATCAAGCTTAAACGTGCTGCTGTTGTTTAGCGCAATATCCGCTGGTTTCCTCTTTCTGGCGCAAAGTGGGCGATAAATAAACAAGAGAGAAAAGCCGATCAGCTGATCATTGATCAGTTTCATGATTGAAGTAGCAACAGGAGATGGAGGGGGAAGAATGAGAGAAGAAGAGTCAGCTGCAGCGTGAAGACAGAATAACTCCAGCTTCTTTTCTTTCATTCTAGCTGAAGTACGGGACAAACTGTTTCTTTTCAGCTCAATACAAAACTCGTATTATTTTCTCTGAATACGGGACGATTCCATTTTTTACGGGACGGTTGGCAACTCTACTAACGAACCTTATGAAGTTCACTATCAGAAACATCATAGCACCCACCCAGCTGTATAGAAACTCCGTCATGCTAGCTAGCACGCAGTACGAGTTATTGTAACTGACTGTAAAAAGTCAGCACAACGAAAACTCCACCTAAACTTGGTTTATATCTGACCCAGATAGACTGCAGGTCATAACTTCTTACCTGAAGTTCAGTTCACCTGTTGCCTCAGGTCTCTCCTCCTCCTACCTCCACTTTCCCTCATCCACCTGCTGGCCTCTGTGGAAGCTCCGCCATAGCCACCACCAAACAACCAAGTTATTTTTACACATCTGCCAGCATCTGGCCAATCCACCATCTTTCATTGTTTATACCGTTACTAAAAAATAAAAAAAATAAAATCATAGGCCCATAAAAATGAAAAATCACCATAGTCCCAACAGGCAAATGCCCTCTGGCCAGTCATCAGTTAACCCTTCCCAGGTTTGCCGACCCCTGTTTTAGACTTTTCTCTTTATTGTGTGCACCTGAGTTGCAGATTGTGTAACAGTGTTGCTTTCTGAAATCTAATATATCAAAATAAAGAAAACACATTGTATGTCCTTTGTCAATATCATTACACTACTCTTATTCGTTTCATTACTTTCGAGTTATGAAACGTTACCATAGCTACAGTTCCACACATAAACAAAAATACCGATCGTAATGAGGACACACAATCAAAGATGAATCAAAGCAAAGATGAAAAGCAGTCCAAAGAGATCACCACAGTGATTCTCTACAGGTGGAAATGGAGACTACAGTGCTACAAGCCTGACTGCTAATCGCTGCCTTTGTTAAGATCAGATAAATGTAACCACCATAAAAGTTATTCTGAAAGGATGCATTTTCCATAAAGAACAACAAAATTTTTTTGCTCCAGGCTGTTAACGTGTTTTTTTAAGATGCACGTTGGGCATTTTTATATAGGGATTACACAGAGACTGGCTCTCTTTTGGAGCCAGCCTGAAGAGGTCTTTAGAAGATTTGCAGTTTTTGCTACTTCCACACTGGCTTCATTTTTCAGACATGGCCTTTTTCTTTCCTGGTTTTTCTTACAGGAGTATGTATAGATGCTAAATCAGTTATTCAGGAGAGAAAACATGCTGTATATCACTGAAATTAAGTGTTGCTCGAGTTTAGTTGGGATGGTCCTGTTAGGAGAATGAATCGTGTCCTATTTAAATTTTCACTCTTGTTGTGTTGTCCTAGAATGTGCAGGAAGATGGGCAGCATGTTTGGCGTCTCAAGCACTTCAACAAACCAGCCTACTGTAACTACTGCCATACCATGCTGCTCGGAGTGCGCAAACAGGGCCTCTGCTGCTCCTGTGAGTCTCTGCACCTTCCAACGTCTCCTTGTTGGTCTTTCTGCTTTTGCGTCTCCTGGTGTCCATTATTCTCCTGCTCTGACTTCCTCCTCTCAGCGTCACTGTCACTATGTCAGACTGAAATTTAGGCCGTTTATCGTGCCTGAGTGTGTCTGAGTCAGTGTTGTTTTCGATTAAAAGTCCTCACAGGCAGCATTAAAAACGCATTAATGATGCCATTATGTGTAATTTCATTACTGAATTCTCCCATGTAGGAACCGCTTCTGAAGGGCTGATGTTATTGTCACTGTTGATTGCAAGCACTTATAGATTGAAATGATCTTCAGTGTAATTAACTTCTTATTAAATTCCCTGCCAGTCATGTTTTCAGTTGGAGTTACTGGACAAGACAAATAGGTTTAAGAAAGATTGTTTAACAATTCTGCAGCTTGTTTATGATATAAAGTAATTTTACCCTTGTGTTTTTTTAGTATGCAAATACACAGTACATGAACGCTGTGTGTCCAAAGACATCGCTGCCTGCATCAGCACCTACGCCAAGTCACGCAGACACACCAACGTAAGTACAATCAAAGGGTTCATTCTGCACACAGTGTTGCTGCTGGGCAATGAGACGGGAATACCGAGCAGCCTGTTGAGCAGATTCCTGCTGGCTCGTGGTCTCTTTTAAAAGAGCAGCGAGGATCATGGGATTGCCTTTGAGGTCATGTAAGGTTCTCTGTGTTTTAGCACTGACACGCTGAAGCAGTTGAGAATGATTACACTGACTCGGGTCACATGTTGATTATGCTTTGTAGAGCACATTTCCTTCCTTTTGGACTTATTAGAGCTTCATTGTAGCCTCGAGCAAAGTCTCTCTCTAATTATTAACTTAAAATATTGGATTACCGATGAACTGTTTTGGTAATCTGTTTTTTATTTCCACTGTGAGCGCGTATTTTGTTTTCTCCATTTCAAAACTTTTGAACTGGAAAGGACTTTTCAGATCTGACATCTCTGAAATTGTTTGGCAAACCTCTGCTGACCATTGCTTCTACGAAACTCTGCCTCTCTAAGATGTTCTTTTTCTACCTCTTTGTGTTACTGACCTGTTGCCAGTTAACCTAATTCACTGCATACTGTTCCTCCAGTTGTTTCTTTATAGTGCAACCTACTAATCCAGCTTTTTCTAATTTACGCAATTTCCTTAGAGATTATTAAAGTATTCTGATTCTAATTTTCTTCGACCCAATGAGAGTTCTCTTGAGAAACATTGTTGTTCAAATTGAGTTTTTAATGGCATGAATTTTTATTTTTAATTAAATGAATGAACTTTTTCTTTAAATTGTACATTTTCTGGGTTTAAACATTTGATATGTTGTCAGTGCTCTGTGGTGAATAGAAATAATGAAATGAAATAAATAAAATGAAATTTGCAAAAATTGATAATAGCTTTTACAAGATTAAAAAAAATATCTTACTTCATATTATACTCACCTTATAGGACTTCAGTGACTGTATAATTTTGTGCAACTCATTTCCTCATATCTCTACAGCAGAGATGACTAATAGAACAGCAATAAGCACATGAATGGGAAGTATAATTGACTGAAGTGCTTTGAAAAAAAATCTACAGATAGATACTGAATAGCAAACGTGACTATTAGTGGCAACTGTAAAACCGCTGTTATCAGAGCTTTGCTGAGGTAACAAAACAAGTTTGTAATATGTGCAACAAGGTTTCAGCAAAATTCTTGAGGCTAGCAGAGATGCTTTTGCCTTTTAGCTTAGAAAATGTGCCTCATCTGTTAGTGTTATTACTGTTGCTCTATTCATGCATGTTTTCTCTTTAGATAAGCAGTGCTGGGGAGTACCAGCATTTCATAGCTGCTTTACATTTACTAGATTTTGAAACCAGTTCTGCAATATTTTTAAAAGGTGTTCAGCAATATTTGTGAAATAAAATATGAATGAATTTGAACTAACAGCATGCACCATTGAATACAAAATTGAAAAGCATTAAATACTTGAATAAAAAATGTCCCGTTCTCCTGTTGTTTCTCTAGGCTATGCAGCATGTATGGATGGAGGGTAACTCTCCTACCAAGTGCGACCGCTGTCACAGAAGCATCAAATGTTACCAGGGCCTCACTGGCCTGCACTGCGTCTGGTGTCAGATCACTGTGAGTCGCTGCCTTATATAAACTCAGATGAACGATTAACAGGAAACATTAATCTCTAGAAGTACACAGCAGTGTCAACACTGCCATACAGAGGAAGACAGCAGTAGATATAGACAAAGATGAAGACGAGGGAAAGGCTGCTTAGCTAAAGTGAAAGCAAAGTAAGCTCTAAAGCCTTAAGAACATGGATGACAGTTCCTTAAATAGAAAAAAATCTGAAGAACATAATTCAATTAAAGAAACGTTTGCACAGCCTAAATAGATATTTTAAGCCAGGTTAGATAGTTTTAAGTGTTTGTGTTACTGTTCTTCTCTATTCCCTGTTCCTTTATAAAACAGTTTTTTACTCATTTTTTACGTGTTTGTGCAAATTTATTGTCTGACTTGCAAAAAGCTAGCAAGAGAAAGGTGGTATTTAAGGCTATTTTTACCTTCACTTGGTGTACTTAATAATCATAATCATATATATTTTATTACCAGATGATAATTATTGATTGATCAGTCACTCTAATAGTGTAACTGGAGATGCATGTGTATACAGGTATCTATATACTGATGGGAGTTTTATCCATAATAACATAAAGCTAAATATTAGTATAGTGTTATTAAAAGCAGTAATTATTTTAGCAGTGAAACTAATTAAAGTATCTGAAGTACAGCTTGTACTGAGTAACCCCATGTACATTACTTCTCTTAGTATATACCTAATCCTTCTGCAAACTACTATCAGACAAACCACAACATAACTGAAACTGTAATGTCTCCATAATGTGATACATGAATACACAGACCTTCATATATATTTTACTTGTCATTGCACTTCAGATCCTCTAGGTGTCAATGCTGACTTTGAATTTTCATGACTATCAAAAACCCACAGCCAAAGCTCTCACAAATCTCTTGTATCAGTATTAAAGACATCTTGTTCAGAAATACAAAGTGATAGCTTATTGATTGGTCCTATATGACCTGTCAAACAGTCAATACAGCCCATTAGTGAGAATGCCCTCAGAAGAATAGCTTTTCGTACTGGTAGTGTTTAACAGACTCAGTCTCACAGATGGATGACGCCCACAGTTCTTATGTTTCTGGCTTTCCTCTCTGTTGTAGCTCCATAATAAGTGTGCATCTAATGTGAAGCCAGAGTGTGATGGAGGAGCCTTGAGGGACCACACTCTGTTGCCCTCGTACATCTGCCCTGTCGTCTTGGTAAGAATGCATTCCTGTGTACGAGAGCGTGCATACAGCAAAAACTCAAATAGTTTTAATTCACCAGTTTAACATTTATTGGACTCTTTAAAAATTAATTTAACAAAAAATATGTGGTCAGAGTTTAGAAGTTTGGAGAAGTTGCTGCAGTTCTGTAGGTAAAAACAGACCTACTCCATAAGGGTGAGATCAAGCATTTCAAGGTTCAAGGTTCTTTATTATTTGTCACATGCATAGTTATACAAGTGTAACACACAGTGAAATGTAGCCTGACACGCTCCTCGACATGTGCAAAAATTGGGGGGGGGGTGTAGAGGAAGAACATCATATATATATATATATATATATATATATATACACATATAGTATATACACTGGGTGAATGTGCAGTAGTAGCAGCAAGCAGGTGAATTCTGTACATTAATATGAATAGACATCTGACTATTTTACAGGATAGACAATATAAACATATTTAAAATTAAAGGAATTGAAATGTGCATTGTTCCTTGGTTTAGTGTCTGGAAGAGTCCTGTCTCAGTCAATTATAGATGATGTGAGAGGGCGGGTGTGTGTGTTTAGGGCACGGATGGCTTGGGGATAGAAGCTCCTCTTGAGTCTCTCTGTCCTTGCCCGGAAGATGCGGATCAACGCATTTGATCAAGCATTTGCGGGTGGCTGTTGCTCAGGAGGTAGAGCAGGTCACTTACTGATCGGAAGGTTTGTGGTTCGATCCTTGGCACCTCCAGTCTGTATGCCAAGTATCCTTGGGCAAGATACTAACCCCAAGTTTCTCTCCGATGCATCCATCGGAGTGTGAATGTCATTAGAAAAGCTCAGTTTAGAGTCAGCACTTGTGAGAATGGGTGTGATTGGGTGTTGTATACAGCACTTTGAGTGCTCCAGGAGAGTAGAAAAGCGCTATATAAGAATCAGTGCATTTGACGTGCAGCTACAGAGTACATTTAAGGAAAACTCTGTGATGCATTCATTTACCTCATTTGGTCAGGTATCAGTTTATCAATTCATAACTTTTAGGTATTTATTTTTCTGTTGATATTGTGTCTCTCGCTCTTAAAGATTTACCTTTATGTAATCACCCATTTACAGACATAAACTCTCTCTAAATACAAGTAGTTAGATGTAATGTCACCACAGTGATGTCACCCATTGTGACATTCCCCGTTCTAGTTTTGAAAGGTTACTGCACATCCACTGGTATCCCGACACCAGACAGGAGGCAAGTGTGACAGGAATAATGAGTTAATGCTGATATAATGCACGGCCATTATACATTTGCTATGTATGGCTATGCAACTATTTCATGTTCTGTCTGAAATGACTGAATGTTTCCTAAAAACCTCCCTGTGGAGGTTCTGGAAGGTTAATCAAAGGAAGTCAGTGTTAAACGTGACAAATCGTTATTTATAAAACTTCCTTTTGTCACCGCATGGCCGAGTTACAACCTCCAAACACGTTCGTCTTTTTCACAATCAGCAAATATTATTAAAAGCAGTGATTGTTTTAGTGGTGAAAACAATTATTGGAGTATTTTTATGCTCCTCACTTTTTAATTTCTCACACAAATCCATAAGTGACAAACTGATACATATCAAGCTTGAGTGCCAGAGCACTTTCTGGAATCTGCTGAAGCCACTCTTCCAGTTTCAGGGTTAAAGCTTCTAATGATCACCACATCTATCACATCTGTAAACATCTGCTCCTGTCAGCCACCACTTGTTTGTCCAGCAACTGCTTGTCTGGAGCTCAAAGTCCTACAGCACCTTAGCCCTGATGTTCCCAACTACCTTTGGTGGTGTCTCCTATCAGGAGTTGGGGACTTCTAGTCCCCATGTGGCACAGATATTCACGCACACTATCTCAGCCGCTTGGTCGCACCTTTCAGTGTACACTACCCCAGCTTGAATCTTAGGTCCTCGAGAGCATCTGCAGTTTGTGCCCTGACTGTATGATAGACTCCTGCATCTGTGAATCTGGTGCTGAGGGCCAGTTCTTATAAGAACAGGAAAGAACAGAGGCTCTGAATATATTCTGCCATGATCAGAGCCTCTGTTCTTTCCTTTACTTCGGTTCTTTTCGTGCCACTGGTAGAATTTCTTGATGTCAGCTTTTTCCTCTGTCTGTTGATGGTACATCCCATGCAGAGGCTTGGTCTTCCATCATAGTTCTTTCTTCCTTTTCCTTATCACCATCTGTCTTTAGCTGTCTGAGGCACTCTTGGAGCAGCTCATCTTTGGGGGCTATCATCCTGCTGTATTCATAGGTGCTTATTTTTTGCTGCTGAGTTGTAACTGACACTCAATAATCTTCGCCCTCCTACTGTCTGTTGCTCATAGAGCCTCAGGGTGCTGGACTTCAGCTGGAGACCTGTACATTCTGAGGAGTTGTTGCATCTCGACATAAGGAGCATCTGTCTCCTGTGGACAGTTTATTATTCCAGTATGGTATCTGATGACTGTTCGGTGAATGGCATGCCGTAATTGGAATCAGAATCCTGTGCTATTATTCCAAAGACACTAATGTTGCCACTGCGCTATCCAGCTGCTTTTTCATGGACTTGGACATTTAATTTGTATTTTGTTTTTAGTTTTTTTAGAGACAGGTCGTACAGACTAGGTTAGGTACATTTGTCATTTTACAACTAAAATTTAATTTAATTTAATGAATGTGACCTGTACACAGTCAATCACTTCACCTTCATTCTCAGGACCGTCATTCTGGGGTGAAGCGAGGGGAGGGGGAATCACCTCCCAGCACCAGCCCTGATGACACCAATCAGACTTTTAAATTCTCCCCTGGAGATGGACAAGCACTCCAGGTATGCTGGCCGCTCACTCTGCACCTGTCATTTCTGCATGGTGCAAATAAAGCTGGTTAGCAGCTACCTGAATCTGTCCTTCCTCTATCCAGATAACCCCGCTTCCAGGCACTCACCCACTCCTGGTTTTGGTCAATCTCAAGAGTGGAGGGAGACAGGGGGAGCGGTAAGTTACTCTCACCCACAGGTCGACTCTCGCTTACCTCTTCGATTTAATAGACAGAGGTTATAAATCTCATTTGACATTTGAGATAAATAGTTAATATTTCATTAATCAAACATAAATTCATTATCATTATTCTTTTATTAAATGGAGTAAAATCTGAGGTATGTAATAGTCAGTTATTCCATTTAAAAACTAAACACTAAACAGAAATGAATCTGTCCCCTGCTGTGGCAAAGAGGACCCAAATGCAAGACTCGCAGACAAAGCAAAGTAAATTTCAAAAAATTTTAAGCACACAAAGTAACAAACGCAGACACTCTAGGACTGAAGGGAGACTGAAGCAGAAATCAAGAAATCAATCAAAATGATGAGACAGGTGGAAGTAAAACTGAAGGAAAAGCTCAAAAGACGGCAGAGGCATAAACAGGCATATACATGAATTCAATTACATTAATGCAACAAACATGCTCAGTAATTGCCAAACACATAAATGCCAACACTCGAGGAAGCTGGAGGTTAAAATTCCCGAGGAAATGCTTTAACAATGATCTGTATAAATAAAATGAGACGAGTGAAAAGTTACTTCATTAACACCAGTTTTCTTTGTTTTTCTTTAAACTAAGTTTATGACATACCTCTAAAGAAAACATCTGGCCCACGAGTTATCAGCTATAGTGACTAACTTGGCTTTCCTATAACACACAAGCACCCACTACAGCAAGTGTAGAACTTACCCACAGTGCATTTACTGCTCATAGCTTAGAGGGCTCTGTTAAATCAACCCCATCATTGAACAAGACAAAAGTGTACCACACCTGGTGCATGGACGTTTGTTACCTAAGCACCTCCCACTAATAATCCTGCTATTCTCAGGTCTATTCTCACTGTTCTTCTAGCAACCTGGGAATTCCATTATATTACAGGAGCTATACTAAACTGAGACACAAAGAAGTAAATACAAAACAATGCACAAAATGTAAATCATCAACGTGTAGTGGATAATTTCTAATAGGACAGTAATTTTAGGTTCTTATCCATACACTTCTGGTTGGGAGGTTTATTCTGCTGTCATATGTTATATTATAGTGTTTCATGTTCGCATTAAACATGTCCAGAGTTTCACATAATGAAAGAATAAGGGGACAGTTGTCTCAAAGAAGCTAAAACAGCTTGTTTCAGACACTACATGAATCATGGGGTCTCCCCCTAAAACTTTGATGTTTTATGATGTTTCTATTACAACATGATGACGTCCGGCTGTTAAGGCATAATTGTGATGTTGTAGGGTGTTAGACTGAGAAAATAAATAATGTGATTTACAACTCTGTCCTTATGATATATTATTTGATATAGTTTCTTGGAATCTTTCTTTCAAGGTGAACCAACCCAAATTCTCATGTCCCTAAAGGCCTAATGTATTGTTTCGAAGTTTGAAGACGATCAACCTTGACTGACCTTGGCCCCATTTTCACCTAGATATGATTAGCTTGAGGTGTTTTTGGTAACTACTGCCAGGCAAAGTTTGAAAATTATATTTTGAAAACTGTGGACAGCAGGCTGCTATCAAACAGACAGAACCTTCGGGGGAGAAAAGGAACTACTCTAGCATTATCTAATCTGGAAAATATGACAAGAAGAAGGACAGGAAGGACCCCTTTATTTGCATACTAAATACAACATGGATCTGGTGGCCTCATATGCATGGACAAATTAGTTACACTCAAAGACTCCCGAGTTGAAATCCATAGAATGATTCCTCAAGAGCAAAATGGTAAAAAAAAAAAAAAAAAAAAGAACTTCTAGGAGGAAAAAAGGCTTTTTAAAACTTTACTTTGGGGCAAAGTCAGCTAACCTCTTCAGCATTCCTCTTTTTTTTTCTTTCAATTGGAACTGGCCGAGATAAGCCCCAGCCTACAGTGACCCTGAATTAGATAAGCAGTTAAGACGAATGTGATTTGACAGGTGATTCTATACATCCTTTCTATGTCCCACATCCAATGAAATGAAAGCTAATTTACATTAGCAGGATGCTGAGACTAAAATCAGCTTTGATTCAAGCTTTTTTGGAGCCATTATGAGAAAATGACAGTATTTTTACTTATGCCAAAGAGGGCGCCAACATTTCTTCACCTCCCTGCCAACGCTCTGAATGCTGTCATTTAAAGAGGAAGAGATACAAGCTTTAAATTCATGTCTCCATTGTCTCATTGTACCCCACCTAACTCACAAAAGCCTGTGGCTCTCCCCCAGTTTGATACATTACCATAGCAACGCACTCTTTTGTTACAATTAGAAAGGAAATTATTATCTATTAATAGAACAAATAAACAGTTTAAGCAGGAAACCAGAGACAGAGGCTGCTATTTATGTCTGAGTTCAGTTTCATCTTTATTATGAGTGATGACTGCAAGCGCTGCACGAGTTGTAAAAGCTTCTCTTCTACCCAGAGATGTGTCAACAGATAGGATAGAGAGCTTAGGCACTTATTCACTAGCTAATAGTAGAAGGATATTAGAAGCCTGTAAAACTGGTTTTACGGCACACATGAACATGTTGGCGAAGGCTTTAATGAACACTTTACGTAATATCCACGAGGTTGCATGAAGCTGCCTTGTCAATGAGCAGCTCACTGAAAACGCTTGTGAACACAAAAAGATGACTGTCCAAATGAAGGGCATGCAAAAAAAACCCTGTACCTTTCCTGCAGAACATGGGACACCGATTCAGAGCAATCAGATGTGTGTGGAGGTTGCAGAAGTCATATAACATTCTAAGTTAAATACATGTTGTCATGACTTTTATATCACCTCGATTGTATACCATTACATAAAAGTGAAAACTTGAGATCTTCATATCATACACATTTGTTGACAAACGAATGATGTGCATGCATTTTGTAACTCTAAAAACCTATGAAAGATTCTTATGAAAAACAGTAAATATATATATAGATATATATGAATGCAGCTGTCCCAGCAGAGTTATACTCGACTAAGCTACACTAAGGCAAAAAGTTTACACTCATTAGGGAAACGTGGTGATTTTGTGGCAACATCATGCAGTTCATTTACATTTTTATTTATTTAGAACAACCACAGTGAGTGAGCACATGGCAACAGTGGGAAGGAATAACATTATTTTAAATAAGAAGACCATAGAAGACCACCTACAACAAACATGACAAAATACAAACTACAGGAAAGACGAGACAGACGTTAATGACATGTAGCAGTGCATATAAACACATGGGGAATGAGAAGACGAAAGCCAGTAAAAAAAATCTTAAGACCAATGGCCCGATTGGTTTCACACGCCAGACCATGTGTGCAATTTCTAAATGTGGTAATCGGGCTTATGGGCCTGATCATTGATGGTTTTCAATTAATTCGTAGGGCATGAGAATTTATGAAAGAACCAAGCTGATAAAATGTCTTTAGGTAGTCTTTGTGTTTGTTTTGCTGTTCAAAATCTGGTATCCCTGACAGATTGCATCCACGAATTTATAGACCAATGCAGCAGCACGTGGCACACCGCAGACCTGCAAAATTCTTGTATTTCATAGTCTGTGTAATTTGAGCACTCATATAACCCTGGTGTGTAATTACCATATTAACACTATAAACTGTCCTCCTTCTTTCCTCTTCAGGGTACTTAGGAAGTTCAGGTACCTGCTAAACCCGAGGCAGGTGTACAGTCTGGATCAAGGAGGGCCGATGGTAGGGTAAGTCTGCTGTGTTCATCTCTCTTTCCTTTGCAGTGGTAGTGGCTAGGTGAAGTTGCAGTAAATTGTGAACCCTTAATGACTTAAAAAATTAGCTGACTCAAGTTCTAAGATAAAGACTACCCAATTAAATAAAACAAAGACACTACGTGGGATGTTAATTTATTGAGGAGAAGTATGCTGTATTACATGTGTGTGAGGGAAAAACCATGTGAACCTTTGGGTGACCCCTTTTCTATTGAGATTCTTTTCATAGATAGACATTTTCCTCTGGTACAATTTGGAATTAATTGTTCTGCACATGATGACAAGCTGTCCTGGCACAGGTGGCAGCAAACACAAACCATGATGCTACCACCACCGTGTTTCACAGATGGAATAAGGTGCTGATACTGGATTACAGTTTTTTTTTCTTGTCCCAAACAGAATATCATTCATTTTAACCAGAAAGTTTTTTGTTTTTGTTTTATTCATGAATTTCGTAGTTTCCTGGGGCTATACTATTTGGAATTAACATGTTCCCCTTGTGCTTTGTGTGGATTTTGTGCATGACAAGCAAGTCAGCTTAATTGGGGATTCTAAGCTATGTGAGAATGTGAGGCTGTCTGTCTCACAGTGTTAGCCCTGTGATGGGCTCTCAACATTATGCCCCATGTCAGAAAGGATATGCTTTAGTGCCTAAAACCAGCACCAGCCCATTAGAGCATACCAACAAAAGAGAAACAATTAAACTCCTATTTTTTCAGCCGATATGATAGTTTGAACTAAAGCTAGTAGTATCCTCTGTTTTTGGGCTGAGTCAGGAGTTTATATTTCAGGATAAAAAGAGCATCATGAATATGAAATAGAAACATAAATTGTTCAGTCAGAGCGCTGTGCTGGGAGACCACCTCCTCCTGTCATGTTAGACTAACCTGCTGGAGGTCAGTGAAGGGGAATGGGGACACTGCGTTACTGCCGCGCTGTGCATTTGACCTCTTGACACTCACATGCGTTCCTGCATACGTCAGAGCTGAGCACAACATGTACTTTGAAATGAATTCTGTTGGGCCCCCTTGTTCATTGGAAGAAGAAAAAAAATGCCCTTATACAGCAGCACAAGGGCCATGAATGCTTTACCTTGAAGGTGAAGTGACTTCACCATCCTTTCACATCCATTTGTATGAGGCTCTCTGCTCCCTTTTCTGTTACTGTCTCTGCCTCTCTCTCAGTCACGACAAGCAAAGTTGCTGCCCTCGAGAGCCCACTGTAAGAAAAGAGACCCGATGACGCACACGGGTCTTTGGGGAGAATGCTGTAGATGGTACACGCTGCATCAAACACAGACACTGTGATACACTGATGTGATGCTGGACTCTAGAAAAGATATCAAAACGCTGATCTTGTTTTGTAGTATCTGTACTGTCAGTATACACTGTAGCTTACAGTTTAGTACTGCAACGTTCTGAACTAATCAGAGATTTTATTGAATAAAAGTATCTTCAAATGGTTGATTCAAAGGCATTACATCAGTTTTGTTTGCCACTGCATTTTCCAAATAAGATATGGACAAGACATATAATTGCTACACTAGACACAAACAAAAAAAGAAAGCCCCAGTGTCTGTCTGCACAGCCATGGCAATGCTGGGGGGGGGTTATGTTTTTTTGAAGGAAAAAAAGGAAGTGACCATATTTGGAAATAACTGGGCTGCTAGGTTATTAGCCAATGCTAGCAAAGCTAGTTGGTAAGGTGCATCCACAAACTCTGAAGGTACAGCACACAGAGTAGCGGTTTTCGATACGGGCGACACGGGCAGTTGCCCGGGGCGGCATAGTGGTGGGGGGCGGCATCACGTGCATCAGCAAAAAAAAAAAAAAAAAAAAAATTGCTCGTACTCATGCTGCCCCGACACCAGCCAGCACATATTGGGAACAGCATAGGCACCGATCGGCTTTTCTATCGCCCATTTGCTGGGCGTAAGGGCGCCCTTCGTTTGTGAGGTGCGCCTGCTGCTTGTTGCACAGGGAGGAGAGGGCGGGGCGGGGGGATTCTCTGATTGGCTGGAGCTCGCAAAATAAAATAAAATAAAAACAAAACAACAAACACAAAAACACCAGACGTTATGATACAGACTTATAATTTGCACCGGTGTTTTTTCGAAATTCTATACGCGAAAAGTGAGCGCGAGAGCCCTCGGTGCGCCTGCTTGCTGCCAAAGTCAAAGTAAACTTTATTGTCATCTCCGCTACATACAGTCCAGTATATAGAGAGACGAGACGACGAGGCTCCAGTTACAGCAGTGCAAGAAAACAAACAATAAATATAAGAACAGTAAGAAAATAAACATACACTTTAGGACTCGGGGTAAAGGGATCAATAACAATTTGAAATTTGAAATTTACAGTTTGATGATTTAAAGTCTCACACACAAGCCGTCGAAAGGGGAGGGGGGCCGGCTGCTTCCAAATAGAGCACATTTCATTCACAGTGTTGTAAATCCAAGCCCATTATGTGTTCATGATTTGAATCCTGGGTTGTGCAAAATCCCAGAAATGCACCTTTGACAAAGTGAATCTGTGAACTGAGGTGTAGGTGTGTTAGATCATGTTGTGGTGATCCTCGAGTTGGGGGACTTATGTTCATACTGAAGTGCAAAATTAAAACCGATGGAAGATGGTCAAGAAAAATTCGAAGCCATCAGGTGCTCAGTTTAGAAAAATTATAAAAGAAGAGGAGGAGAAACGAGCAAAAGATACAGGTAAGCAGATGTCATTGGATAATGGCAGGTCATCCTGAAACAATCAGAATCAGAATACTTTATTTATCCCTAAGGAAATTATGTGGGTTACAGTTGCTCTAAGAAGAAATGTTAAAAATAGTAACAGTAACGGACTAAACTCCAAACAATACATTATGCTACAGATTTTAATATTAATATGTGTCCTGTTCTCATTGTATGACGTACTATGATGGCCATTTGCATACTATGCATACTCTCTCTCTCTTCATATGTGTGTGTGTGTGTGTGTGTGTGTGTGTGTGTGTGTGTGTGTGTGTTTCCCTTGTAAAATTCAGTATGGCTCCAACAACAGTTTTATGTTAATGTACAATCCTTAATATGTTTTATGTGTGTGTGTGTGGCCTCTGTAAAATTTGGTGTTTTAACTTTGGAGCCAGCCTCAAGTGGCCATTAGAGGAACTGCAGGTTTTGCGGGTGGCTTAATTTTTCAGCCCCTGAGGTTTTTTTCTTCTTCAGGATAATCCTTTATTAACTTGGTCTGTTGTCTGGGTCACACAAGAGGACATCATATTTAGAAGACTGTACCATAAAATTGCTCCCAAAAGCACCAACTAAACATGGTTAAGAGCACCAGTTCAGCGTCTCAAATTGGTGGTGAAGAGACAAATATCTGCTGCTTCTGCTGCTGCCCGTGTCAGCAGAATTAATAATATTTAAACAGGCGCCTTGTCAAATGTTCCAACATAGCTATGGAGAGTGAAATTAGCTATATGTATAAATTATCTGTATTTCTTTTTACCAGACTGTAAACATGCCTTTATGTTGTTAAATTTAGCCTTTTAACAGCAGTGTATTTTATACTGTATATAAAAGATGGATTTGGCATCACATTATCCATTGTTTTAGACTCATTTTGAAGCCTAAGCATCAGTGTTTTGGCCACCAGCATGTTGGTTATAGGGAGCCTGAAGTGACCATATTCAGACTAAAGGGTTGATTACTAACTAATCAGTGGTCGCATGCTTAGCAAGCTGCATTCATAAACTGTATAAGTATTAAGCACAGACACACATGGCAATAGACATTTTGCCCTTTCAGGGCCCCTGTATTGAGTTTCTATCTGCAAACTGACTTGGGCTTGCTCAAAGAAAACCTGCTGGGCCCAGTCTAAACTGGAAATGGTCTGGGCCCTGTACGGTTCCTTCCACTGATATTATGATATATTATAATATTTGTGGCTAAGAACATTGCCTTGTAAGTTCCACTTACAGTAATTATGTAACTTTTAATAACAAACTCCTCTGCCTGCTCAACTCAGCCTCAGTCCTTTTTCCTCAGTGCAGGGATCTGTCTTAAGAGGCCCTACATTGAAAATAAACACACAGGGTCTGTTGTCACATAGAGGGTTAACTCACTGCCAGCTGAACTCCACAACTGTTACCATGGGCTCCTTAGCAACACTCACAGCAGGCATTGAAATGAGGGGGTAGATTTCTCTGAGTGATGTGTTTAGGGAACGCGATTAGCTTGCTGTACTTACATTTCATGTCATTGCACATAATATGTCAACCTCCATGTATTATTTGTTGATGCACCAGCTTCCTTTAAGACATCATGCATAAATCAAACGGAAGATTTTAAATAGGTTTTGGTTAGATGTGAATGCATATTGGTGTTGTTTCTCTATATAGCCCTTAGGGGGTGCTGTTTGCCTTGTGGCTTCTGTGCCTTGTTATAAGGTCTAGAAATAAACATACCACCTACTTTGATTCTGGGGAGGCAGTAACATAAGGGTAAGGCAGGCAGGTTGGTTGGTTGTTTCAGGTACCAGAGAGGCATGAAATCTAATCCAGAAGGAACAGCTGGATTATAGATCCATTAGTAGGAAGAGTTGCCAGGTGCCAAAACACAACAGGGCACAACAGCTTATATATTCCGAGGTTCTCTCTATGTTATTGGCTGTTGGTACCCCTGTTGTGTTGGCAGGCTCCTTCCATTCTTGAGAATGCAGGAGCTTTTTCATTTTCCACATAGACCAAAAGTCAAAACCAATTTCCCTAGCCTCTCATTGGGATTCAGCCCCAAACCTGTTTGTTTCTACTGAAATAATGAAATAAAAAAATAAGCTCTATGGGAAAAATGCACAGAGCCACTGTGACATCACAGTTAATGGAGTCCTGTTGTGAAGGCTTGAGATTAGTTGATTATAAGTTGCGAAGTAAATATATTGACTACAAGACCTGAAACTATGTCACTTGGATGCCAGCCGGAATAGGCTTCAGTCCCCCTCAAAAATATGAATTGGACAAGTGGTGTAGATGGATGGTTGGAAATAGATGAAGGGAAAACAGGGCCATTTGTCTATATATTACTATACAACCAGGCTTCTTTTTAGTAAATTGTTGTTTGTAGGTGTTTTTAAAAACAGCAGAGTGTAGTTATATTGTGGATTTGATATACTGACCCAGCTGTCATAGCTAATCCTTTTATCTTACTTCCCTTTATACAACCATATAAAAGTAGTGGTAAAACAGCTAACTGATCATCTGCAGAGGAATGGCTTATTTCAGTCAGGTTTCAGAGCTCATCACAGCACAGAAACAGCATTAATGAAGGTTACAAATGATCTTCTTATGGCCTTTGACAGTGGACTCATCTCTGTGCTTGTCCTGCTAGACCTCAGTGCAGCGTTCGATACTGTCGACCATAATATCCTAGTAGAGCGATTAGAACATGCTGTAGGTATTACAGGTACTGCACTGCAGTGGTTTGTATCATATCTATCTAACAGACTCCAGTTTTTACATGTAAATAGAGAGTCCTCTTCACACACTGAGGTTAATTATGGAGTTCCACAGGGTTCAGTGCTAGGACCAATTCTGTTTACATTATACATGCTTCCCTTTGGCAGCATCATTAGAAGACATAGCATACATTTTCACTGCTATGCAGATGACACCCAGCTCTATCTGTCCATGAAGCCAGATAACACACAACAATTAGTTAAACTGCAGGAATGTCTTAAAGACATAAAGACCTGGATGGCCGCTAACTTTCTGCTTCTAAATTCAGATCAAACTAAGGTTATTGGATGGCATTACCTTGGCCTCCAGTAACACTGTGAGGAACCTTGGAGTCATTTTTGACCAGGATATGTCCTTCAACGCACATATTAAACAAATATGTAAAACTGCTTTCTTCCATTTGCACAATATCTCTAAAATTAGAAACATCCTGTCTCAGAGCGAGGCTGAAAAAAAGAGTTCATGCATTCATTACTTCTAGGCTGGGCTACTGTAATTCATTGTTATTAGGATGTCCTAAAATTTCCTGAAAAGCCTTCAGTTAATCCAAAATGCTGCTGCAAGAGTACTGACAGGGACTAGAAAGAGAGAGCAGATTTCTCCTGTATTGGCTTCTCTTTATTGTTCTTCTGTTAAATCCAGAATTGAATTTAAAGTTCTTCTCATTAAATACAAGGTCTTAAATAATCAGTCCCCATCTTATCTTAATGACCTTATAGTATCATATCACTCCGTTAGAGCACTTCACTCTCACACTGCAGGCTTACTTGTTGTTCCTAGAGTATTTAAAAGTAGAATGGGAGGCAGAGCTTTTTAGCTTCCATGCCCCTCTTCTGTGGAACCAGCTCCCAGTTTGGATTCAGCAGACAGACACGATCTCTACTTTTAAGATTAGGCTTAAAACCAGTAGCAGAAAATGGGTTTCTTCCCGTTAAAAGGGAGTTTTTCCCTCCGACTGTCACCAAAGCACTTGCTTACAAGGGGTGATAAGATTGTTAGGGCTTTCTCAGTTTTCTTTGTCTGTATGGTTTTTACCTTACAATATAAAGCACCTTGAGACAACCGTTGTTGTGATTTGGCACAAAATAAATGAACAGAACTTTTCACGGGATTCTTTGGCAATAAAATAAAGAACGTGACAATACTGTGGGGTAAGCATTTCATTGTCAATACTGCCTGTAAATAGTCAGGTGTTTCTTCTGTAACACTGCACAGCTGGAGAGTTTTCTATACTATTTGCAAAACATGTATCGTTGTATCTTTGACAAACTGGTCAGGGCATCTGGAGTTCACATATTAATGCATCTTATTATGAAGAATTTTGATCCTGATAAGGACCTGAATAAGGACAAAAGTGATATCACTCATATGTTATGGCTTCCCTAATATTTTGATTTCAGGTTAACTTGACATTTTGGACGGACAGCCCTTCCACCATAATCAGTGAAACACCAAAATAGTTCATATGTTTTGGAAAAATAGCGTTCACTCCTCCAGCAGAGTTTGGGAGACTTGAAAAATCATGTGGTGGCCCAAGACCTTACTGAGACACTATATGTCGATTTTTCTTTTAAGTTATCACCTGCTTGTATTATGTTCAAGTGAAAATGTAGAACTGGTTTAAAGGGTCTATGGGAGATCACTGTGCAGGACCAGGTGGTCACCGGGCAGCTGTCTCATGATAGAGAGAGATGAAAGCTTTTGTCGACACCTTTGTTCCAACACACATTAAAGGTCCCTTTGAAGGGCATGCACTCTGCGACCACTGCGTGACTGTGGTTTCCAGGGAAAGGAGTGAAGTAAGCACAGCTGGAGAGGGCGCACACTGATTACTCTTTCTCTCTCTACCTTCCTCTGTGTCCTCTCTGCCCAGGAGCGCCCCTGTTCATTAAACCATCACAAGCTTAGAAATCCCTGTCAGCTGCTGCAAAATGCAACTAATAAATTTGGCGTCACAGAATTCTTAGTACACACTGACATTAGGATTCAGGGACTCTGTGTATAAAAGTGTTCTACAAACAAAACACCTGTTTTCTGTATATGTGAAGATGTTTTCACACATGTGCTGAACCCTTAAATGTTTCTGTAACGTCCCTGACAGAGGTACAGGTCAGAACACAAAGTCACTGGGATGTCTGATTGCTTTAAGATGTGAACAGTGCAGTCAGTGGTCCATGCCCGCTGGCTTGTGGTTGTCTTGTGTGCTGCCCCGTGAACTCTCTACCCAGGCAGCTCTCCCGTCTTAAACACATACCATTTCTAGTGCTGCAGACACTTCTGAAATTGATTATTTTCTGCTGTATGTGAGAATGGATAGCAGCACTAAAATGTCAGAAGATCATGTGTGATGATTCCTGGATCTATTGTCTTTCTAGGCTCAACTTTTTCCATGATGTCCCTGATTTCCGGGTTCTTGCTTGTGGAGGTGATGGCACAGTGGGCTGGATCCTCGACTGTATAGGTAATTAGATTCTAACTTATGAAAAAGTTAGAATCTAACTAATACTTTGCTTTGATAGGAGTTTATCTGCATTCTTAACCAGATTTTATTGTTTTAAAGGCAGCTGTAGGTCAGAACACATGTCGAAGCATCTTTGACCAATATACTGAACCCTGAGTGTATGTGAATGTTAGAATGTGCTTTAGCATAGATAAAAGCACCGTGTGAATGTGATTTGGTGGATGAAACATATTGTAGAGCACCAGTCCACATATATTTTCTGTTATTAATAAAAGTAAAGATGAAATGTGGCTGAAAGAGCAGAAAAATAAAGGTGAACATTAAATATTTTAGCTGAAAAATGAATTGTAAACATCTGTTTAAAGACCAGCTCTGAAGTTCCACAGTTCCTGCAATCATGCATAGTTTTTTCCACTGTGAGGAATTATTACGCTCTACTTTATTCTAGCTGAGTACAAATGTAGGTTTAGCAGTAATTTATCAGTAATAAATTCAGTCAGAATTCTAGTTCATATATTGTCATAAAAATCTGTTTCAAGAACATTTTCACATCCATAGCACGAGATCGAGCTGCTTGTCTGTGCCCTTGCAGATAAGGCCAACTTTGCCAGGCACCCTCCGGTGGCCATTCTTCCTTTGGGCACAGGGAATGACCTGGCTCGCTGCTTACGCTGGGGAGGAGGTGAGGAGCTCATTCCAGCATCTTTCTGTATTTTCTTTACATAGCTGCATAGGCATCTATAAAGCCTGCAAGAACTGATGCCATAGCTGATCTTTTTGGAAACTTTGTGGCAAAGAGAAACAAGCTGAAAACACTGATAAGATTTTGTGAGCCTGTTAGTTAATGGAGTTAATGTAGCACCATACTTATTCATAATCATTTGTGTTTGTGGTCACCTGATGAGTTTAAGTCCTCTTTAATTCAGTTTTTTTGGTGTTCACCAACTCTTCAGAGGAATATCTGTGTTTCTGCTTACTAAAGCTGCCTTCCACAGTCAAAAAAGACTTCTGATATCACTGGGAAAAAGCATCAATATTGGAGCTGTACAGCTAAGCAGTAAGGAGAAATTGGCTATAAAGAGGGAGCCACAGAGGACAGCTTTCACTTTTTTTCTGCCTTTGTGAGTCTCTGTTCTGTCCCGATTAGTTTCACATTACCAAGTCCGCTGTCACTTTCTATAGCTACGCTTCAGCCTGATTGCCTGTTTGCTTTTCAGTGTTCTTTCCTAAAACTCTGCGTGTTTATACCAATCACTGTTGTCTCCCTCTGGTTGCTGAATTACTTTCTCCTGGACATTCCCGCCTGCTCTCTTTTGTTCTTCTCATATCAGCTTCATTTTTCACCTCTGTCTGCCTTACATGCCTCCTGTCTTCTGTATTTAGATACTCATTTTTGAATTGAACATAATAGAGCACGTTTAAAGAATGACTCACTTCTCAAATACAAAAGGTAGCCATGTGTCTCTGCACATTTCTGGGAAATGAAAGATGGGAAGAGAAACAGGGGACTTTTATGTGTCAAATTAAAAACTTAATTTGCAAATCACTTGCACACGCTGTAAGTCCTTTGCCAACCATTGATTTCTCGTAGTACTTGGGACCAGTAATTACACTGGCTGGTTATAACTGCTCGATTGTTGCTGCGAGGACCAGCAGAGCACTTGAAAGATATTTTGTCAATAAGCTGCCAGGTCTGGGTTGCTTTGGGCTGTTGAACTGATCATCAGAGATAAACTCTGAAATATTAGCTGCAGCCAATTAGCTTGATGATCATTTACCTGAGAGGGAAAATGAATCTAGTCTGATTTGTATGTGAAGGTGAGCAGCCAGTTTTGATTCATGGCTCTGCAGTCTGTTTTAGTCAGATGTTCATCAACTAACAAAAAAAAATCTATCGAACAGCTTTCAGATGTATCACCACTCAATCTAATTCATGATCTCTAGAGCATGAATCCCAAAGATTTAGGCCTTGTTGAATTTTAGTTTAATTACTGGGTTTTTGTGGAATATCTTGACAATAATTTGAAGGATTGTCATAAAAGTTGGTAGAGATATTTGCCGAGCAAAGCTTTTCTCTTAACCCATGAGACATGACTGACTTGATCATTTACCATTTGGCAAGTACTGGAATAGAAACACATTATGCATTAATTCTTACACTGGTTGTATTTGTGAAAGTTAGTGCTAATAATAATGATAATGTGAAAGGAACTTACGTGAATTGCAGTGAAGATGAAACACAGGGCGAAAATGGAGGACATTGGTGAAAGATAAAGCAAATTTTACTTTAAAAATAACACATAATGCAGTGAACACATGAACACTTAATTTCCTCTATTGGTGTCAGTGGATTTTTGTAATCATTTACACAAATATCAGGATGTATTGTACGTGATTGTCTTTCATTATGTCAGGTAACTCAGCACTGACATACCATTAGTGTCTCTGGATGGTTTCATGAGTTACTCTTTGTAACGCTTTCGTTCAACCTTCAGGATAGACTGTAATAACTTCCCTTATGCCATTATCAGGGGAAAAAAATCCTTTTATCCAATACAGCCTGATTTTAATAAATACCAGCAAAACTATTGCATCAATCTTGGTTGCACTTTGTGCTTAAGGTTAATTTCCAAGTATTCATATATGCTAACAGTCAAGTACAGGCTTGCAGTCTTCTAAGGTTGTGCACAGATGGCATAATGACAAAAACATGTATCAATTTGTGCAGACGATGTGTGTATTTGTGTGTGTACCTGTGCAAACACCACAAAATGAATAAATAAATACAGCTAAAAAGTAGCTAATTGTTCATGTAAAAAGACAACTGTTATTTCTCAAGAGTACAAATGTGAGAACATATGCATATGCAAAATACTCTCATATTTCACACACATGATTCTCCCAGTGTGATGGCACTCATTAAAGCCTCATGCCCTTGTGACACCTTTGGAACAAACATCTGCTTCTTATTACTATGCCTGGCTGTTAAAGCAGGCTGTCAGCTATGGAGCAAATCCAGAGGGCTTCCCGGGGGGCTGTCAGGTCTGGGCTTCATTCTGGGTTTGAAGCAAGGAGGGTAGTTTCTTTGGAAAGGCAGCTTAATCAGTTTTATTGTGTTCCATATTTGAGCTCGTATAGTGTAATTTGCCTGTTACATGTGGAGATTATGATTAAAAATGATGAAATATAGAGAACGACTTTTCTCTGCCAGATTTTGCTCACGCTATGCTTGACTGATTGATTGATTTTTTTTCATGTGATTCCTGATTGATTCCAAGTTTCTAGCTTTATACTGTTTAGCGGGATAAAAGTGGCTGCAGCTCAGGAGGTAGAGCTGGTTATCTGCTAATCAGAAGGTTGATGATTTGAACCCTGGTTGCTCCAGTCTGCACTATAAATATCCCCAAGTTGCTCTCTGATGCATCCATTGGAGTATAAATGCATCTGAATGTAAGATAGAAAGCACTTATTTAAGAAAAGCATAGAAAAAAGTGCTGGAGTAAAATGGTAAATATGGCATGTTGTATAAAGTGCTTTGAATGCTCCAGTAGAGTAGAAAAGCTCGATATAAGAACCAGGCCTCTTCCTGTTAAAAAGCGTTTTTTCCTCCCCGCTGCTAAGTGCTTGCTCATAGGTGGTTGTGTCATTATTGGGGTTTCTTTCTAATATTGTAGGTCTCTACTTTAACATATAATAAAGCACCTCCAGCCAACTGTTGTTGTGATTTGATATAAATAACACTGAATTGAAGTAAATTGAATTCTCTGGTTGTTCTCGGCAGGTTATGAGGGTGGTAGCTTGGTGAAGGTCCTTCGGGACATTGAGCATAGCACTGAGGTGGTGTTGGACCGCTGGAATATAGACATCATCCCTGACGACAAGGAGGAGAAGGGAGATCCTGTTCCCTACAGCATCGTCAACAACTACTTCTCTATTGGAGTGGTAAGTAAACTGAGAGAAAGATAACATTGCATGTTTTAAAGAGCCACATTATACTTTCTTCCTGTTTCTGTCATATGTCATTCTACTATGTCAGGCAGTTGCCAACGTTTAAAAAAATAAGATGAACTTAATCTGTGTGAGCCAAAAGCTCAGATTTCAGAGTTACATTTTGTTTTCTTTCTTTCATTTGCCTGAGGTACAGCTGATGCATGCTGGGTTTTGGAGTGACCAGAAAAAACACATTTGCATATTTGGACAAAATAGTGAAGAGCTAATCATCTAACAGTAGATAGTTTGGTAAAGCAACAGAACTGAAAGACAGACTCCTGTAAACATGTTTTTCAATGTTGTGAAGTTGAGCATTTCTACATGGAAATCTTTTTGCTTTTGGAACTGCAGTTTTAGAAAATCCAGTTTGGATTCATTTTTTAGCCAGTTGTGTCTTGTTTCTAAAATGACATGAGCAAAAACAGGCTTATTTTATACAGAAATAAAGGAATAAAGAAACAGTTTAAGATAAATACATTTCAGATTTAAAAAAATGTTACTTTATTGTATGCACAAAATACAGCTTTATTGCTGAGGACGGAAAAAGCAAAACCAAAACTGGGAAAAGGACACGAACTATACTGGAAGCACTAAATACATGGAGAAATGCACACAACTATGAGGGAGACGCTGACATAAATACGCAGAAGGATAACGAGGGAAGTGAGGAATACAGCTGACACAAATTAACATGACGCCACAGGGGAAGCAAAACAAGATACGTGGAACACGGAAACACAAGACCTTCACAATAAAACAGGAAACTGGGGAACATGACACAGGAGCAGTGGCGTGTCTAGAAAATTTTTGTTGGGGGGGCCAGGTAGGGGCACAGATTTGGAGAAGGGTGGCAGATTTAATTGGCAGATAATGTTTAAAAAGAAAAATTTCTACCAACCCTTAACCATAATTCAATAATCCTATAAACCTAATAACCAAATGCACTTTTAACTCTTATTAGAATGAGATTTTAACCACTACGGTGCAAAGTTTGTAGATACTGCGTTGATAAAGTACAAGAGATACAATCAGTGCTTTGTCAGTGCTTACTCAGCATTCAAGGACATCAATATTTGCATAGTATTTTTACTGACATATAGTGCACATATGTTTTGGGCAAAAACATTTTTGAAAATTAAAATACGAACATTTGTAACAAACAATTGACAAATTAGCCAATGCCAATGCAAAACTTTATCTGCCTATTAAAAAAGAAGATAATCTTCTCACAAACTGGTGTTTGATTTTGAAACAGGAAAAAAGTGGGGAAACAAATGAAAAGACTAACATTTGAATAAAACCTGAAAGCAAGTAAATACTTTCTATGCTGCCTTATGGTAAACTTTGGTAATATTGATAAAGAACAACACTGGCTGATGATAAAATACAGTCAGCTGGCATGGTGACACTGCCAGTATAACCTGCAGGGCTGGACTGGGACAAAAAAATTGGGCATTTTTACTACAGACCGGCCCACCAGGTAGTAAAGCCATAAAGCCTTTGAATGAAAACAAACGCTGTGGTGACAGTGATGTACAGTCTTGTTGGTATATGTATGACATCTATACATTTTACGTCAGATAAAAACTTTGGTTGTAAGATTTAGATAATTATTTAATAAAAACTAGGTATTTTAAATGAGAATAAGAAAGAAAAGTATTTCTTTGTGCCCACCTTTCCCTGTTAATGCCCTACCTGGCCCCCTGGCAAAACTTTGCTAGACCCGCCCCTGCACAGTTACCAGCTGTCAGCTACATAAAAAAGGATCCTGGTGTTATTTGTCTCTCAGAAACAGTTCATAACTTCCCTTCAACTCATTCATGTCACCTAAAAGGTAAATCTGTTTCTCCATCACCTGTTCAGCTCTGATGATTCAGTAAGGACATCTCCTGGTTTCATCTTCATGTTTCCCTCTCACCACATAACCAAACCTACATCATGACCAGCAGCTTTACAGCTTTGGCTCCAGCCAACATCAGCTGATACTAGAAATTAATATTAAATAAATTCTAACAACAGCTGATCAAGCTTAAATGTGCTGCTATTGTTTAGCGCAATATCCGCTGGTTTCCTCTTTCTGGCGCAAAGTGGGCGATAAACAAACGCGAGAGAAAAGCCGATCAGCTGATCATTGATCAGTTTCATGATTGAAGTAGCAACAGGAGAGGCAGGGGGAGAGAATGAGAGAAGAAGAGGCAGCTGTGCAGCGTAAGGACAGAATAAATCCAGCTTTGTGTCTTTTTTCCATTCTAGCTAAAGTCCGGGACAAACTGCGTCTCTTCTCAGCTCAATACGAAACGCGTAATATTTTCTCTGAATGAGGGACCATTCCATTTTTTTAAGGAGCCGTTGGCAACTCTACTAACCTTATGAATAAAATAAAGTTCACTATCAGTAACATCATAGCACCCACCCAGCTGTATAAAAACTCCGTCAAGCTGGCTAGAACGCAGTATGAGTTATTGCAACTGACAGTAAAAAGTCAGCAACATAAAAATAAACTCCACCTAAACTTGGTTTATATCTGACCCAGATAGACTGCAGGTCATAACTTCTTACCTGAAGTTCAGTTCACCTGACACTCGGACTGGTGGCTGCTTCGGGTCTCTCCTCCTGCCTCCCCTTCCCTCATCCACCTGTTGCCTCTGTGGAAGCCCCGTCATAGCCACCACCAAACAACGGAGTTATTGCTACACATCGACCTGCATCTGGCCAATCCACCACCTCTCATTGTTCATGCCATTACAAAAAAAATAAAAAATAAGTCACTGGGGATATGCTCGGTATGCCCGATGGCCAGTCCAGCTATGTTAACCTGCAACCAAATCTGCAGCTCCATACAGCAATGTTACGACTTAGATTATATCTTATAACTCATAACTCTTACGTTAGCTCCCCACAGCAGCAAACTGTCAGAAATATTCCACAGCTGCAATAATTCTTTAAGTGTAATTTTTTCCTTGGTATTCTAATTTCACCGAAGTTTACTAAACTCAACAAACTTGATATTACTTACCGGGACATTTATTCTGTCCTCATTTTCTTTCACCGAAAAATTGTTTCCTGCAGTGCCATCTTTCGCGCTTGGCTCTCCTACCTTTGCTAATGTGATGCGCATAGCGCAGAAGCGATGCTGCATTCACTTACACTCGGATATCTGAGCGTCACCGTGAAAACATAATCGGACATTTGATATTTGATTGAATTTTATTGTTTTGCCTTTGGGGTGGCACCTGGGGTGGCCAGTCTGGTTTGGGGGGTGGCCTGTGCCCCCCCAGGCCACCCCGCTGGACACGCCATTGCACAGGAGTGGAGGAGAGGCAGACCAGAGGGAGCGAGGGAATGCGAAGGAGCACAAGGGAGAGAGAGAGAAACATGGATAAACATGGAATAAACCACAAGGAGGGGAAACAAGGCACAAGAACTCATACAAACACATAAACACAGACGCACAGAGGGCAAAGACACAAGGGGAAATTACTAAATGATCAAGGAACTAAACGGGGCCCATAAGAAACTCAAAACAGGATAACCTGGCACTATGGAAATAAACTTAAGACTAGCAAGGAGAACTTATACATAGATCATAATACTCACAACGCTGGGTCAAATGACCATGACAGTTCATATTCCGTGATCTAATTCCATATAAGACAATATTTCATTTGTTTGGAATTTTGAATTCCAGTTCTTTGTATTGTGAAATAAAGTCCTTCAATTTTTCGAGTAGTTATTACAGTAAAAACATGATGAAAGAGATTATTTGATCTATGAGGACATGAGCAATTAGGAGATTCATCAGTGAATTTCTGCATCCTCTGGGCAAGAAACACGTTGCCAGGTACCAGTTGCTTAGCAACTTTTTTATCTTGTCCTCATGGAGATAATATGCGGGCCTCTGGGACATTTATACAGAGGTGACAAACAAGACCTTCATTAAGTAATCACAGGGCAGCACCACTCATTTAGCCTCAGTGTATTAAAATAATTGATGTGTCACCACCACAACTCTGTATATCTCCATAGCCGTCGTGATGTTATAAAGAAAACCTAAAGCAACCATTTTCACTCATTCTAATCTTACTAGTTACTATTAAAAAATAATAATATGAGGCTAGGGTGTAATCATTAACTCCATTCCTATCAGCTAATAGTCATGAGATTAGCAGTGCAGTGTATACGACTATAAATAAACCCAAGTGAGATAAGTGTACAGAGGGCATATGTAGACATTTGAGGAGGAGCACTGACAGGGAGCAGATACACCACAGTGATGTTATACAACTGAAATCCTACTGCTAGCTACATATTTATCAATATGGATGTGTGAGTGTAATACTGCACAGTGAAAGTGGCACACACATCTATACTTCTGTGGTTAGAGTTTGTAAAACTGCACTTTGACAAATCTACAAGTAACAACTCGTTTTATTCAAAAATGGGAGAAGAGGCAGTGACAGGATAGAGCCGTTTCCTTTGTGGCCTGAGTGACACCACGAGTGTCTCACACAGGGAGAGACAATAGTATTTGACAGGCCTGTCTTGGTGTGGTGACTGACGCTTTTTGGCAAATTTTGTCTCTCACATTTTCACATTCAGTAATTTGTGCATCTCTGTTTCACAGAGTTTTTACGTTCATTCATGAAGAATATTTCAACCTGCATGTTACATTGAAGCGCTGCATCAAGCTGCAGCTTATATTTCTTTTGACCTGATCTCCCATTGTTTAAGTCATCGTGGACAGTAGTTACTGCTGGCTGTGGCAGGTGCAATGCCGACACTTCTGACTGTCTCGTCATAGGTCAGAGCGTTCTCATTCCAGAGGTGGAAAAAAATGCTGATTTTTCAAAACTGCTTGTGTGTCTCAGTTACTTCCAAGGTGTCCTTTAGTGGCAATGTGTGTGAGAGAGCACAGCAACATTGTTACAGTACAGTTTTTCAGTCAGTCTCTT